GAAGAATTTATGCTTTCGAACTGTGGTGCTGGAGAAAACTCTTGGGAGTCCCTTGGATAGCAAGGAGACCAAACCAGTCAATCATAAAGGAAATCAACCCTGAATATTCATTGGAAGGACTGGTGCTGAAGCTGAGGTTCCAATACTTTGGTCACCTGATGTGAAGAACAGACTCACTGGAAGAGACCCTGATACTGGGAAAGATTGAAGGCAGGAGGAGAAGGGGGTGACAGAGAATGGGTTTGGTTGGCATCATTGACTCAATGGACAAGAGCTTGAGCAAACTTGGGGAGATGGTGAAGGACAAGGAACCCTGGCGTGCTGCAGTCTGTGGGGTCTCAAAGAGTCAGACACGCCTGAGCAAACTGAAAAACAACAAGAGGGAAGCAAGGCTGGGCTGGATCCCTTCCCCCCTCAGTGCCTCCCGCAGGATCGAGGCCTCTGCAGACCCCACAGGCCCTACCTTGGCCACCTCGGTGTTGCTGTCTTGTGCCTCGGTTATCTCCAGCTCGCGCAAACTGTGCTGCAGCTGGAGCTCCTCCAACCACTTCTGCCGCAGTCCCAGCTGGTGCCGGAGAGCATTCAGTTGCTTCACCTTTTCATTCAGCCGGTAGTCCAGATGCTCCAGGGCTTGCTGGAGAGAGGGGAGCAACAGTACCTAGTCCTTCCTTCTCCCACATCTTGGTTCTCATCTCTGTCGTCTCTTGGTAGAGCATCTGAAACCTGGCTGATCCTGCTTCTGCAGATTCTCTTTTTTTGGGGGGAGGGCTGGTTTGCAGGGGCTCCACTCCTTGGTTTTCCACTTCACCTCCCTGGCTGCCCCTTACCCATCTCCTTTGCCTTTGAAGAGGCTCTTCTTTCATCTGACCACACATACCACTTGATCCTATCCAGTCTCAGGGTTTTCGGAGTCATGTCTACACTGCATGAGTGCATGCTAAGTCGCTTCAGTCTTATCCGACTCTTTGCGACCCTATGGACTGGAGCCTGCCAGGCTCGTCTGTCCATGGGGATTCTCCAGGCAAGGATACTGGAGTGGGTTGCCATGCCCTCCTCCAGGAGATCTTCCTGACCCAGGGATCAAACCCACGTCTCTTATGTCTACCTGCATTGGCAGGTGGGTTCTTTACCACTAGCACCACCTGGGAAGCCCCACTTCTACACTGAAGACATCCCAATTTAGCCTCCCCCCTGAGGCTTGTATATCCACATCTACACTGCCTTCTAGATGTCTCCACAGGAAGCTCAAAACCATCTGTCCAAAATTAAGTATATCCTTGATCTTTCCCCAAAACTGCCCTTCTTGAATCTTCCCCATCTCAGCTCATGGTAACTCTATCCTTCAAGGTGCTCAAGTCCCAAACGTTCATGTCATCCTCATCTTTTCTTTTTCTCTCCCACTTACACCCAGTTTGTTAGCAATTCTCTGTTCTGTCTCAAAGGTTCCTCAAACCTCAAAGAGAGATCCTGGTGGCTCAGTGGTAAAGAATCTGCCTGAAGTGCAGTAGATGCATGGGTTCAATCCCTGGCTCAGGAAGATCCCCTGGACGAGGAAATGGCAACCCACTCTAGTATTCTTGCTGGGAAAATTCCATAGTCAAAGGAGTCCATGGGGTCACAAACAGTGGGATGTGACTGAGCCAGATAGATCTCTTTCTTCCTATTTCTACCTCTTTTGTCCTAGTGTAGCCAGCATCATCCTTCACTTTGATAACCTCCTCTGGATGGCTTCTAACTCTTGCTTCCTTAGAGCCCATTTTTCACTTCTCTAGTTCTTTTCTTTTTTAAAAAAAATATTTATTTGACTGCACCTGGTCTATAGTTGTAGCACATGGGATATTTAACTATGGTATGTGGGATCTAGTTGCCTGACTAGGGATTGAACCTGGGTCCCTTGCATTGGGAGTGCAGAGTCTTAGCCACTGGACCACCAGGGAAGTCCCTTCAGTTCTCTGATTCTTAGTATAAAATCTACACTTGTGTAGCAAAGCCTGATGCAAGGTTCTGTCTCTGCTGACCCCTCAACCTCACCTCCTATGGAGCTCCCCTCACTCACTCCTATTCTGCCACAATGATCTCCTTTGTGTCTCCAACACTCTACCTTTGTTCCTACTGAAGAGACTTTGCACTTGCTGTTCCATCTGTCTGGAATGCTTTTCCCCAGATCACTACTTGCCTGACCCCTTCTCAGCTCAAATATCACCTTCTTAGAGAAAGCAAAGATCCTCACCTCACAATCTAAATGGCAAACCCCTAACCCCTATCCATCTCTAGTGAGTCACGCTGTTTTATTTTATTTATTTCTCTTGTCACCATTGGAAATCACTTTCTTTCTATGTTTATTGTTCTTTTCTTGGGGGTTGTCTGCTTTCTCCACCAAGATGAGACTCTGGGGAGTGGGGACATGGTCTGTGTTTTTCACTCTATGGCAACCAATACCTAAAACCATGCCAGGCACATGGTCAGTGTGTGATAAAGGCTGAGAAATAAATTAATGGCAGCTGGTGTGGAGAAGGGATTGGAGAGGGTGAGATGGGGGTCAGGGAGCCAGGTGGGGACCCAGGCTAGAAATGAAGGGAGATGGTCAGAGGAATGGGAGTGGGGCAAACCTGGCCTGTCCTGTTCTTCAGGTACGGCTTCTCTGATTTCCATTCTCGAATCACTGCCTGGACCACTTTTTCATCTCCCTGCAGGGAGAAGAGCCCAGGTCACACTATAAGTTCAGGCCACCCTCTCCTTGAGAACATCCCCTGGGGATGTTGCCTCGCCCCCCCCCCCCCCCCGAACCTCTTCAACCTTACCTGGAGCAGGTCTGTCAACTGTAGTTGCAGCACCCTGGTCTCCTCTCGGAGTTGATTAATGGTCTCCTGATTCTTCTTGATGTTCCACTGGGTGCTCTCATAAAAGGCCTTCCGGTCACCCTCTGGGGTCATGCGAGGTGGGCAGGCAGAAGCAGAGTATCATGGGAGGGGGTACTTCCCAGAGGGAAGACATTTTAGTAGTTATTAACAGTATAACAATATTTTACTCTGAGCATTTGTTATGCATTAGATGCAGGACTGGAACTTCCCAGGTGGCTCAGTGGTAGAGAATCCACCTGCCAGTGTAGGAGCTTCAGGAGACATAGGTTCGATCCCTGGCCCAGGAAGATCCCCTGGAGTAGGAAATGGCAACCAGCTCCAGTATTCTTGCCTGGAAAATCCCATGGATATAGGAGGCTGGTGGGCTATAGTCCATGAGGTTGCAAAGAGTTGGACACAACTGAGTGACTGAGCAAACATGCAGAGATGCTGGGCTAATCATTTTCTTTTATTTTTCTGTACTGCACTGCATGTGAGATCTTAGTTCCCCAACCAGGAATCAAACCCACACCCTCTGCATTGGAAGCACAGCATCTTAACCACTGGAAAGCCAGGGATGGACTAATCATTTTCTAGGTATCAGATAGGATGTGCCAATATGTACATACCCACATCCATATTATGCTCATTTCACACATGAGAAGGCTTGTGCTTATTAGACTGTTCAAGTTCACAAGCAGTCAGACTCCCCAGCACATACTTTCAACCACTATGCAACATTACCTCCTAACAACAAAGCGATAAGTTTACACCAGGATTTCCCAACCTTAGCACAGCTGACATTTGAGATAGATGATTATTTTCTGTGTTGAACTGTCCTGTGCATTGTCAGATGTTGAGCAGCATCCCTGACCTCTGCTCATTAGATGCCAGTAACAACACCCCCGCCCCAAACAACGTGATAAACCAAAATGTCTTTAGACATTGCCAAGTGTCTTCTGGGGAGCAAAATAGCCCGATTCCATTGAGAACCACTGGTTCACACTTCATAGTATTACAGTGCCAGGCACTGTTCTAAGCACTTTACACATTTCAACTACCTATGGGGTGGTACTGTTACTATCCTCATCTAATGGCTGGACAAACTGAAAGCAATTACATTATTCTTGGTCCCTGAAGATCAAACAGTTATTATTAGCATATGTAGAGCCAGTATATTTGAACCCAGAAAATCTGCCTCTAGAATCTATATCCTTCATCCTCCCATGCGTTTTAGAAAAGTTGAAACTACATAAAAGTAGGGGCTTCCCAGGTGGCACTGGTGGTAAAAGAACCTGCCTGCCCATGCAGGAGATGTGAGAGAAGTGGGTTGGATCCCTGTTTTGGGAAGATCCCCTAGAGAAGGATATGGCAACCCATTTCAGAATTCTTGCCTGGAGAATCCCATGGGCAGAGGAGCCTGTCAGGGCACAGTCCATAGGGTCGCACAGAGTCAGACACCACTGAAATGACTTAGCCTGGACACACGTAAAAGTATGAAGCTCAGAAGGTTCTGAGCTCAGGAAAAGTTGTATAAGATGAGGAAAACCATGAGCAAGCATGAATTTTTGCCTCCGGATACTGGACACCTGGACGAACGCTAGTGAAAGAATTCCTGCCAAGTCAGAGGGCTGTTGACTCATTCTGGGCCCTCTGGAGTCATCTTACCTAACAGTTGTATCTTCCTTTGTAACTCAGCCACCTGCATGTTCACAGCGGACTTCCCCTCGCTGGCATGGAAGGGTCCTGTCTTGGAATGAGGTGAGTGCCAGATAGGCACCAAGCCCTTGCCTCGAGAGTGGTAGGGCTTGAGCTGAACTTGAGTGGCCTTGACTTTGGAGGGGGCTGCAATTTGGTCCTGAGAAGGTATGGCGTTGGAGGCCGCCGCCCAGCACAGAGGAGACGTCATGATTGGGTTGAGGCCGAGGACCTCTGGGGGTCAGGGGAATTGTCTCTGCCTAGGATTCTTGAATTCAGGTTCCTCGGGCTCTGGGAATGCACTAGTCGACCGCTCGGCGGGACCTAGCCGCATCTCCGGTTGCTAGGTAACCTTCCCCGCCTCCCTCCAGTGCTCCCATGGAAACCGCTCGCGTTCCAGTCTATGACTCTCATTGGCTGACTTTGAGCGGAGGGGCGGCCCCTGCAGGGGACCAAGCAGAGCAGGCCGCAGAAGATGGGGGAGGGTACTTTTGAGTCACGTGCTCATCCTTTTTCCTCCCCACCTCTCCATCCCAACCCCACCGCAGGCGGCGGTGTGGGGTTTCGCGGGCATTTTTCAGGAACTTCTGTTCGGGCTTCAGAACCCGCCACTCCCAAGATGGAGGCACCTTGCGCCGCCATTAAGCGCGAACCTTCAGAACTATTCCCTTTCAGGCTACAGTCTTATGCAAGATGGCCGACTGTGTTCCAAGCCTGCCACATGCCACTCCCAACATGGCAGCCAGGGCCCGCCGTTCCGGGAGCGGAGCGTAATTCCGGAAGTGATGATTCTCACACACTTCCGCTTCCTTTCTGCAGGAGGAACCGTTGGCTGCTGGGTCAGGGGGGCGCGGTGGATATTGACCTTTGCCCCAGCCTCGTGTACGTGGTGGACTAGTGGGCGGGAGGTGCCCCCCACCCCCAACTTCCTATTAGGGGCAGCCGAAGGGTGTGGGTTTGGAGAGGGGGAAACTGTTAACCCTTTGGGCCGATTGGCGGGAACTGGATAGCGAACCACCTCCGACTCATAGGGAGCGGAGGTTTTGAGTTCCGCTCACCATTGATTTGGGCCAAGTGAGATTCCCTTCCACTAGGTAGGACTGGGGAGATCCCCTCCCCAGCCTCCGCCTCGGCCCCCGTGCCCCCAGTGTGGGAGGTTAAGTGAGACCTCTTTGCCCGGAGCGATGAAGGAATTCATTTGACCGGAGGGAGAGGCGCCTTCCTTCGGCTGGAAGGAGCCCTCTCCCACTGACCTGCCGCCCCTTTCTCGCTGCAGCGTGGGGTCACAGTGCATCTCCCAGTAGCCTCCTTCTGACAGAACCCATTTCCGGCTTCCAAGGCTTCAGCGAGATGTTACTACTGCTGCTGCTGCTGCCGATGTGTTGGGCCGTGGAGGTCAAGCGACCCCGCGGCGTCTCCCTCACCAGTGAGTGAGCCACTGGAGGTGGCCAGAAGTGGGGGTGGGGTGTGGGAGGTTCTGGGATAGGCACTTACAGCCTTCGGTCTCAGTGTTCTGGACTCTGGGCAGGGCAGGTTGCAATGCTTAGCCGGTGGGAGTGGGAAGAAGTACCTTTGGGTGGAAAGGGCTCTCTTCCTGCCCTGAACTGGGCCCCTTGTCCCCTTCCCCAGACCATCACTTCTACGACGAGTCAAAGCCTTTCACTTGCCTGGATGGCTCTGCCAGTATCCCCTTTGATCAGGTCAATGACGACTACTGTGACTGCAAAGATGGCTCAGATGAACCAGGTGAGCTTTTTCTCCATTCATCCATCCATTCATTCATTGTACATTTATTGAGCTGGTGAGTGCTACGTCCTGTGTGGTGTCCCAGACAGACCCAGTCCCGTCCTCACAGGGCTCTCTCTTGAGTGCAGGCAAGCAAGCACAGACTAAAGTGGGTCAGTGGTTTGTTGAGGAGATGGGGAGGTGCTATGGGAGCCCAGAGGGGGAGGGGGAGGGCTTGGTAGGGCCCAGTTCAGAGGGCCCTGGCGCGGAGAGGCAGGAGGGAGCCCAGGAGCGTTTTGTTTCAGGCCCCCAAAGTGCAGTGGTCCTTCCTCCCTTTGCTTGGCATCAGTTATTCTCACATTTCTCATGCTCGCGTGTGCACGTGGTGGGTGTGACCTGCCGGATCCTGAGCCCACTCCACAAACCTTCCTTCCCTCCTTTCCCCACAGGCACAGCTGCCTGTCCCAATGGCAGCTTCCACTGCACCAACACAGGCTACAAGCCCCTGTATATCTCCTCCAGATGGGTCAACGATGGAGTGTGTGGTGAATGAACTGGCCCCAGGATGGGGGACAGGGTGCTGGGCAGAGGGAAGGGGGCATTGTGGGGTGGCGGGGGAGTCCTGAAGGCGCCCCCGTGTCTGTCCTCAGACTGCTGTGACGGGACCGATGAATACAACAGCGGGATCGTCTGTGAGAACACCTGCAAGTACGTAGCTGACACACCCCTCTTCCCTTGCCCCCCTCTCCCCCGAAACCTTGCCTCGCCTTGCTAGGTGAATCGGGTTTCCTCTCTTCTCTGCTTTTGTGTATCAAGGGCTCACCTGGTGCCAGGTGCTCTGTGAATGCTCTATCAGCAGTTTTCCTTCTGGCCCGGAACTGAGTGTAATGTGTTTGCCTGTTCAGCTGATGAGTGAGCTCATGCTCAGAAAGGAAAATGACTTCCTCAGGGTCTCATAGCTAAGAGATAGCAGAACCAGGACTCGAATCCAGCTCCGTCTAACTTGGGACTCTGTGCTTTTAATTGCACCACTGCAGCAGGACCTGAAAACTGAAATGCCCACAGGCAGGTGGATGGAAGCAAACGCACGCAGGCTGAGTGTAAGGCAGTCAGAGAGTGATGGGAATTGTGGCATTTAAAAGGGACAGCCTTCCTCCACTCCTGTGAGTTGGGAGCAGGTGGCAGGGCCAGATACGTTTTTCAGAGAAGGTGAGCGTTGTGACACTTCCATAAACCCCTCTGATGGAAGGTCTCTTAAGTAGAGAGAGACTGACCAGATTTTGTGTACTGGCCAGACAGCCCTTCTGTCAGGGAGTCTGTGACTCGTGTGCTCTTCTCTTTCTTCTCTTGGGAATCTCCTTCCAGCCCCACATCCCAGAACCCTCTAGTCCCTCCCATGATCCTGAGGGTGAGCGAGCCCTGTCCACTGCCCCTCCTCTCTAGGACAGGGATGAGGGGCTCTGAAGCCAGGAGAACCTGGGGGAGGAAGGAGCAGGAGTGTTTGAGCTCCTGTTTTTGCCCACATGATGGGGCGATGGCAGGGGGTTGAACCCCTTGGGAAGAGGCAGACCTAGTGGACACTAAATGCTCTCCCTTCCCCCCCAGAGAGAAGGGCCGCAAGGAGAGAGAGACACTGCAGCAGATGGCAGAGGTGACCCGTGAGGGCTTCCGCCTGAAGAAGATCCTGATTGAGGACTGGAAGAAGGCCCGGGAGGAGAAGCAGGTGAGGGGCCTGGTGGGGCTGACCCAGGACAACCTGGAGGCTGGGGGGCTGGCTGGGGTTTACGTTTGCTCCCGACCAGGGGTGTTCTGGGGCCAGTTGCTGTCTGTCTGCGCCTTGGACCCTGGTGTCCACTTGATGTTTAGTCGTTGCTTAGGCTGGTACCAGGTGTGTGGCAGCCAGTCGAGGCATGGACCTAGGCCTTGGGTGCAGACCACGGTGGGCTCGGAGGAGGGTCACCTCTCCTCCAGGTTCCAGGGTGCTCTCATTTGTAAGTTAAGTAGGGTGGGTGCTGGGGATGTGTTGGGGGAGGGCCCAAGAGGGTGAGTCCCCAGGGATGTGTCTCCCCCTGCCTGTCTGCCACCCCCTTAACTGGTGGGTCAGAGTCCTCAACTCCCCTTCGGGGCTCCCACTTAACCCTCTCAGCAAGGGCCCCAGCTCTGTTTCTCAGACTGGGGAAGGGTCGGGTCTTCCTCTCCCACCCCCATGGCCTGGCTAGTGAGGTGTCTCCTGAATTCATAGGGGGCAGTGTATTCAGGGCCAGTGAGATCCTTCCAGGGCTTAGCCACACGGTGAAGTTGGTGCCAAGTGACCTTTGACCTCCTGGGCCAGCAGGAGGACCCCGGCAGCAGATCAGGTTGAGGTGTCAGCCAAAGTCTTGGGAGGGACCCTACAGCCTAGGACCCCCATTCTTAGGCTGGAGCCCACCCAGCACACACGTTCCTTCCATCCTTCCTTTTTAAATATTTTTTATTTTTATTTATTTGGTTGTGCTGGGTCTTAATTGCAGCATGTGGAATCTAGTTCCCTGACCAAGGATCAAACTGACCCCCTTGAATTGGGAGTGCAGAGTCTTAGCCTCTGGATCACCAGGGAAATCCCCTTTCTTTTCTTTTTTTTTTATAGAAACAATCAGTTTTTAAAAAGAATTTTATTTTTAGCTGTGCTGGGTCTTCATTGCTGCACACAGGCTTTCTCTAGTTGCGGCAGGCGGGCTAATTATTCAGTGTCTTCTCTTACGGTGGAGCACAGGCTCTAGGCACGTGGACTTTGGTAGTTGCAGTTCCTAGGCTCTAGAGCACAGGCTCAGTAGTTGTGGTGCATGTGCTTAGCTGCTCCTCGGCACGTGGAGTCTTCCTGGGCCAGGAATCAAACGCATGTTCCCTGCCTTGGTCCCTCTGCTCTCTGAACCCGCCTTGGGGCATAGGAAGCAAGGAAGACTTCCTGTAAGAGGTCTCCATCTAAACTGAAATCTGTAGGTTTTTTGAGAGTTAGCCAGGCAGAGTGTTGCAGACAGAAGGAAAGACTGTGTGGAAAACGGGGGGCAGTGTGGGTGGGGGGCTTTGAATGTTGTTAGGGCAGTTAAGATAGCAAAGGGTTGGATGAGGCTGGAGAGCGGGGCAGAGTCCTGGTTATGCAGGGCCTTAGGGGTACACTGAGGTGTTTGGATTTCTCCCCAGTGGGCCGCAGAGAACCACAGCAGCAGGGGTTGGGGGAGATCCAGGAGGGGTGTGTATTAGGAAAAGATAATGTGGAATAGAGGCAGGAGAGGAAGAGGGAAGAACAGGATGAGAGCCGGCCTCTGTCTTCTGCCTTCCCAGAAAAAGCTCATTGAGCTGCAGGCTGGAAAGAAGTCACTGGAGGACCAAGTGGAGATGCTCCGGACACTGAAGGAGGAAGCCGAGAAGCCAGAGAAGGAGGCCAAAGACCAGCACCGTAAGCTGTGGGAAGGTACGTCGCTGTGTCCCGGTGTGGCTGTGACTCCCCCTCGGCTCCTGGCAGGGAAGAGTCTGGGCCCAGGAGTCTGTTGCTCATTGTCTCTTGTCTGTCGTTGCACTGATTTTTTTAAAATCACGGCACCTTAGTTCCCCAGGTGCCTCATTATCTTCAACTGTGTGTTGACCATTGTGTTTAAAAGTAATTTATAGCAGTAACTTGCAGCTTTGATGAGAGGTCCTTCTCTCAAGAGGGGCTTTTCTTTCTGCCTTCTCTGTGGGAACACTGGATTCAGGGACCTCGAGTCTGAAGTTGAGGCTGAAGCTTCCTCCAGCCCCCCAGGCAGAGTGAGCTGAGGTCCGAGCAAGGGCTGGCTGATTCCTGGCCCAGCTTAGCCCTCAGGGGAGTCCCATGGGGTCATAGTTACGGGCTGGGTCACCTTGGACCTTGATTTTCATTTCCCTTCCCTCACAAGTTATCAGAATGGACATCCACATTTGCCAGGCTTGGCAAAATCCCTTAGGATGAAAGCAGCTTCTACCTTCTCTTATCTTCTTCACTTCCTCTTTGCGCTGGCAGCTCCTACTGTCTGGGGTTGGTTTTAAGGTGATTTTTTTTTAAATGCTTGGTCCAGCATTTTCTTGCTGTGGGCAGATTGTGCTGCTGTTGTGGATAATCTGAAGCCTTGGCATTTGTTCTCAGTCTGCTGTGTGCAGGGACATACATGGTGGAAGGCGGCTAGAAGGGAGAGGTGGGGCAGAATCCCACTCCAGGCTAGTTAAAAGACCCAAGACCAAGCATTGCCAGAAGTATTTGGAGCCGTGGCCCCAGCCAGTCACAGGGCTGGTGCCCGGCAGCTGGTAGCCTTCTGAGGCCGTGCTGTGATCCCCTCCATCCCTTGGAGCATCTGCTGTGTTCTTCCGCCCTTCCCTCTCTCTGTCCTGATTTCTCATAATCAGTAATTCAGTCGTTCATCTGACAAGCATCTACTGCGTGCCTATAATGTGCCGGGTCTATGCCAGGTGCCCACAATACAGCATTGAACAAGACGGAGGAAGCCCTCTGCCTATAGAAGGGACAGGCTCAGAGGTCATGAGGCTGCATCTTGTCTAGTTTTTAAGGAGCAGCAAGGAGACCATGGGCTTCCCAGGTGGTGCTAGCAGTAAGGAATCTGCCTACCAGTGCAGAAGACACAAGAGATGCAGGTTCAATCCCTGGGTTGGGAAGATCCCCTGGAGGAGAGCGTGACAACCTGGTCTAGTATTCTTGTCTGGGAAATCCCATGGACAGAGAAGCCTGGCAGGCTACAGTCCATGGGATCACAGAGTCAGACATGACTGAGCAGCACGCACGCATGCACAGACACACGGAGACCATGTTGGTGAATGAGCAGAGACTCCCCCTCTTTGTTTACATACCATCAGCTGCTTCTGTGATAAAGCCACAGACTTCAGGGGTTGCCAACAGGGACCTTATGACCTGCTGAACCTAAAATATTTTAGCGTTGGATTCTTTACAGTAAAGTTTGCTGACCCCGATGAAGATACCAGTATTCTCTCCCACACTGACGGTGGATAGACCAGAGCACCCAGTGCTCGTTTCACAAGGATCGTGTTTTTGCCCCTGCTCCCCTTTCCCAGACATCACATCGTTTCACAAACAAGGAAGCTGAGGCCAAAGAGGCCACTGGCTTGCCCAGCTAGACTGATGCCCACGTTACTCTGATTGTAGACCCTGCTCCTTATCTGCAGGCTTGAGTCACCAGCCTGCTCCTGCCTCGCTCAGGGCCCAGCTTTTTTTGCCTGTGTTGGGTCTTTGTTGCATGGTGTGGGGGCTTCTCTTGTTGTGGCAGGCGGATTTAGCTGTCCCATGGCAGGTGTTATCTTAGTTCCCCAGCCAGAAATGTGTCCCCTGCATTGATTCTTTATTAGGATTATTAGATTCTATTAAATTATTAAATTTCTATTTATTAAATTATTATTCTTTATTAGAATTACTAGCATCAGAAGGCTGTTTTTTTATTACTAATTTATATTTAGTTTTGGCCATGCTGGGTCTTCGTTGCTGCTCACAGCCTTTCTCTAGTTGTGGCAAGTGGGGGCTACTCTTTGTTAGGATGTGGGGCTTTCTCACTGCAGCTGCTTCTCTTGTTGCAAAGCACGGGTTCTAGGTCCACGGGCTTCAGTAGTTGCGGCACACAGGCTCAGTAGAGGTAGCACTCAGGCTTAGTTGCTCCACAGCATGTAGAATCCCCCTGGACCGGGGATCGAACCCGTTTCCCCTGCACAGATTCCTGTTCTTTGCTGGAAGCCTGATTCTTAACCACTGGACCCCCAGTGAAGTCCCTGGGCCCATTCTGGCCCTTCTGGCCTCCTGATGGCCTCCCTCCATGAGGCCAAGCCATTCTTTGGCCCAGCGGTCTTCCTGGCTCCCCAGTGCCTTGGGTGGGACAGCATTTGGGCCACCACTGCCCGCTTACAATGCCCCCTACCATGGAGGACTTCTCCCTGCTCTCTGTACCCTGTGTACCTGCCCCTCCAGCCCTGCGAAACTGCTGCTTTTTGTTGCTCCCGGGCCTCTGCTCCATCCACCTCTGTAGAAGATTCCACTGGACGGCACTGGTCTACACAGTGTATGCGTGTGTGCTCTGTCCTTCATTTTTCTCTCACTGCGGTAAAATCCCGGTCATGTCACCATTCACCATTTCAGCCAGTTTTCAGCGTCCGATTCAGTGGTGTCAGGTATGTCCACACTGTTGTGCAGCCATCGCTGCTGTCTAGTTCCAGAATGTTCCTGTCACCCCAGGAGGAACCCCCAGGCCCATTAAATGGCCCTCCACATCTCCCCTTGGCCCCGCGCCCAGCTCCCACGCATTGGCTTCCTGTTTCCAGGGATTGACCTGCTCTGGACATTTCACCTCAAGAATTCAGGCAGTGAGTGGCCTTTGTGACTGACTGCTTTCCCCTAGCGTCGTATTGTCGAGGGTCATCCATGTTGTAGCCTGGTGTCTGGACGCCTGCTTCCTTTTTAAGAGCTGTTGTCTATTCCAGTGTGTGGCCCTGGTGGGGTTTGTCTCGTCCAGGTACCATTTTTCCCTTCAGGTTTTTGGTTCTGGTCTCCATTGCTTGTAAGCGGCTCTTGTGTATCAGGGGGTTGGCCTTTGTGACTGAAGTTGCAGATGTTCTCTCATTCACCTTTGGTGCCAGGTTCCTTTACTCTCTTCCCGGGCCACGTGTTACAAAGTGAACGAACTCTGGTCTTTGCTTCTGTTTCCATCTTCTTTTGCACCACATCTAGCATCCTTTTACACAAGGCTGGGCAGCTTCTTAGTGTGGAGTTGTTGACTCAGGTTCAGGGGTGACACGCCACGGCGGTTTTGCTGGGATTCCCAGAGGGTGGTGGGGATGAGCGTGGGCTCTGGAGGCATGTGCCCCTCGCCAGCTGGGTGACCGTTGGCAGCTCCTTTCATCCACCTGTGCCTGGGGCCCTCATTTGTGAGGACATTGTTGGCTGTCTGCTGGGGTCTCCCGGGACACAGGCCGCTCATCCTGGGGGAGAGGGCTGAGCTGCACTGGGGCTGCTCTCCTGAGCGCCCCCTGAGCCGGTTGTGCTGGGACAGGCCCCCAGGACATCTGCCTCGCCTGGCTGCACCCCCACCCCAGCCTCTGTCCCCTGACCGCTTCTCCTGGGGGCCTCCTGAACGTGGCACACCTCTGGTCCTAGCTCTTGCACCGTCACGGATGGTTCAGACTCTCTGCAGATGCCCCCAGCTGCCCCTCCTGGATTCCCCATCCATTTGGCACTGCCCACCTCCTTGGCCCCCCCACCCCCACACAGGCCAGCCCTTCTCATTGCCTAGCTCCTGCCCCCAGTCTGCCCCCCCGCAGTGGCCTGACTCAGAGCCCCAGCCCCAGCACCCAGAGGGCCAGGCACATGGTGAGCCCGGGGGGTATTGGGGATGGAGGGTGATGGAGCTGGTTCTTCCACAGAGCAGCAGGCCACCTCCAAGGAGCAGCGGGAGCGGGAGCTGGCAGCCAGCGCCTTCCAGGAGCTGGACGATGACATGGACGGGGTGTGAGTGTGCCAGCCCCACCTGCCCTGGGCTCCTGCCTCTCTCTTCCCACCTTTAGGAAACCAGCCAGAGCCCACCTCCTTGCCCTGGAGCCCGATCCCCTGGGGGCGTGGGGGGTGGTGGGGGAGAGATGAGGGAAAACACCCCCTCGAGCTGGACAGGGGGACTCAGGATCTCAGTGATTTTTGAAAGCCTACTCTGTGACCTGGGATGCTTTAGTGAAAGATGAAATCCTGGCCAGTGTCCCTGAATTGCTGGCCGGCCCCAGGCCAATGGCTCAGTGGAGGGTGGGCCTTTGGGAACAGGGAGGCTGGGCAGGCCCCCTGGTGGGAGGCCTGGGACTTGGAGGGGTGCTGGGGGCAGCATGGGCAGGGTGGTCCCGTTCCTGGTGGGCAGTGGCGGTGGGCAGCGGGGTAGGGGCAGGATGTGGGACCTGGGCCACCATGGGTGTTTGGGTTTCCTGGGGTGGAGGATACCAGGCCAAGGGCATTTCCCTGTGTTCGGTTCTAAGGGTGGAAGGAAGTGGAAGCTGGGTCTTGAGGACACAGGGTTGTCTCCTATTCCCACCCCTGTGTCTGTCCCTCCCTTGAGCTCCTCAGGGTTGTGGAGCCTCAGGAGTGGGTAGGAGGCAGCGGATGGGGTGGCTCGGACCTGCCTTTCCCAGGGTGGAGACCAGACTGGGCCCTAACCCCAGACCTCATTTTTTCCCACCTTCCTGCCTGCCGTCTCTCCCTGCCCCAAGGTCCTGAAGCAAGTTCTCAGGAGGAGCCCTGGCCTGGGGTGGGGGTTGGGGGCAGTTGACCAGGAGCCCATGGTCTCCCTGCTCCATCGGCTTCTGCCTTTGTCCCTGCAGGGTCTCGGTGGCTGAGTTGCAGACCCACCCAGAGCTGGACACGGATGGGGACGGGGCATTATCAGAAGGGGAAGCCCAGGTACTCAGCCCACCCCTTCGCTTGGGATGCCTGGAGGGGATTGCCCCAGGGTGACCTCAGGGTGGGGGGTGGGGGCTGGCCAGAGGCAGGCCTTCTGTGGGCTACTCCCATGGAAAGTTCCCTGCTAGCCCAGGGCCAGAGTTCTGGGGGCGCACAGCCTGGCTGGTGTGGCCAGGCCTTGCTTGGTGACTAGGAGGGGCTGCCCAGGGCCTTTCTCCCTTCCCTGTGGGGCCTAGTGGAGTCGTGTGGGTGCCTCAGGGTGTCTAGTGGGCAGAGTTAGGGTTCCTGTAACCATGCCCCCCCACCCAGTGCACACACCTGGGCGCCCTCCTCACAGCTCTGTCCTCATTGGTCTGGAGCCCTGCTCCTTGGTACCCAAGGACACTGCCCTGCTGGTCCCCACGCCCCGCCGCACCCTGGCCTCTGGCTCTGTGCTGTCCGTCTCTCCGCTCCTCTCCCTGGCTTCTGCAGTCCGCACCCCCGCACCTCCCTGGCCCCCTCCTCTTTCCCACAGGCCTGTGCTGCCCCCTTCTGGCAGCCGCTCCTCACCCAGCCCGGCTCTAGGCTGGCCCTGGGCAAGTCGGCGCGTGCTGTGCCTGGCACCGCAGCCTGAGGGCCCCCGCACCCACTACGAGAGTGCCTGGGTTGGAGGTGGGGGGCACGTGGAGGTCCTGCCCCTGACCCCACCCCAACCTGTCGCACACAGACCCTTCTTGGGGGAGACGCGCAGATGGACGCTGCTTTCTTCTATGACCGCGTCTGGGCCGCCATTAGGGACAAGTACCGGTCCGAGGTCAGGAGAGGGAGGGGAAGGGATGTGGTCCCCGCCCCCGCCCCGCCCCTGGGCGCCTCACAAAGGCACTGCCTCCAGCTCTGGCAATGGCCACCCTGGCCAGCTGGGCGGCCCCATCTTCTCTACAGAAGCCACCCTGCCCCCAGCTGTCTGCCCCTCCCTCCCTCTCTCTAGGCTCCTTGGAAGGGGTGGAGACACAAGGCCGCCCTTGGGCGATGGTGGGAGCCTGGCCCCCGGCCCTGGGGGTGGGGGTGGACCCCGAGTCCTCAGCACGACCTCTCCACACATCCAGCAGGTGCTGCCCACCGAGTACCCACCATCGCCTCCTGCACCCGATGTGATGGAACCCAAAGAGGAGCAGCCCCCCATGCCCTCGCCACCCACAGAGGAGGAGGACGAGGCCGAGGAGGACGAGGAGACAGAGGAGGAGGAGGAGGAGGACGAAGATTCCCAGGGGGAGCAGTCCAAGGTGGGCGTTCGGGGTGAAGCGGGTGACGGGTGGGAGTGGAGTCACTCGCTGACTCTCTCCCCCCACCCCCAGGACACCCCACCCCCAGGCCCAGCCCCCCAGACGGCCAGCCCCACCGAGGAGGACAGAATGCCGCCGTATGATGAGCAGACGCAGGCCTTCATCAGCGGTAGGGCTGAGCTTGGGAGGGAGGGGCCCCTCCCTGTCGCCCGCAGGTGCAGGGGCCCAAGAAACAGGCCCTGCCTGCTCCTTGAGGGGGCCTGGGCCTGGCCCAGGCAAGGCCAGGGGACTTCGGGCCACCTGGAGGGGGCTTCTGGGGCCTGGGGAAGCTGGCACCACCACACCAGTCCCAGGGGCCCTTCTGCCTCCTCGTGGGTGGCTGTTGTTTGTGTCACCCTTGGCAGGCGAGGAGCCAGCAGGGCCCCAGGAGCCCTGGCCCTGCTCCCTCATGAGCTGAGAGCCTCAGCAGGGGGGAGGGGTCTGCCCGGCGGCTGGCAAGGCCCAGAGGGTCTTCCTGGGCCCCGTCCTCACCCAGAGCCAGCCCTGGGGCTGGGAGAATCAGGCTTGTCTGCGCTACCCTCTGCCCTCTCTTCACGGATGGGGTGGGGGCACCTCTGACCTCTGTCCCGACCCCACCAGCCGCCCAGGAGGCCCGCAACAAGTTTGAAGAGGCCGAGCGGTCCTTGAAGGACATGGAAGAATCCATCAGGTACGAGCCACTTCTCTGCTGCCCTGTGGCCACCTGCTGCCCGACTCCCCGGGGGCGGCGGTCACTCAGGCAACCTCTGCGAGCTGGCGGTGGTTCCTGCAGGGAGAGTCCCCAAGCGGTGGGGGCTGGAGCTCAGGCCCCGAGAGGCCCTCCGCCACTGCAGCGGGCCTTCCCGCGTTGTCCTGAGTCGGGCTGGCATCCCCCACTGCCCCTTAACTTCCGGGCCTCCCCTTTAGGAACCTGGAGCAGGAGGTTTCATTTGATTTCGGCCCCAACGGCGAGTTCGCCTACCTGTACAGCCAGTGCTATGAGCTCACCACCAATGAGTGCGTCCCCTGTGGGCATGAGTGGTGGGTGGGCTCGGCGGGTCTGGGCCTGAGCAAGGACGGGGTGGGGAGGGAGGGGCGTGGGCTTAGGCGCAGCCACTGGGATTTGAGGTACCTGCATGGCCCTGGTGTGGGGGGATGTTGTGGAGGCTGGGACCCCTGTCTCCCCACCCACCAGCCTCATCCCCTGACAGGTACATCTACAGACTCTGCCCCTTCAAGCTTGTCTCGCAGAAACCCAAACTCGGTGGCTCCCCCACCAGCCTTGGGTGAGTGAGCTTGGGCTAGGCCCCCCTCTCGGCCCCTCATCCCCCACCCCGGCCCCCCCCTGGCCGGCCCCTCTCAGCACCCCACTCTCCCATAGCACCTGGGGCTCGTGGGCTGGCCCTGACCACGACAAGTTCAGCGCCATGAAGTATGAGCAGGGCACGGGCTGCTGGCAGGGCCCCAATCGCTCCACCACTGTGAGTGCCCGCGGGCTGGGGGCAGTGGAGTGGGGACCCAGGCCCACAGAGCCCGCCTGAGCCCCGCCTGCCCACGCCAGGTACGCCTGCTGTGCGGGAAGGAGACGGTGGTGACCAGCACCACGGAGCCCAGCCGCTGCGAGTACCTCATGGAGCTGATGACGCCAGCTGCCTGTCCAGAGCCCCCGCCTGAGTACCCCGTGGAGGGCGACCACGACGAGCTCTAGCCCTGCCCCGCCCTGCCCAGTGCAGAGGTGGGTGGGGAGCTGGGGGTCCCGCCCGTCCCCTTCTGCTCGGGGGCATGGTGGGGGGTGCAGCTCTTGGCCACACGGGTGCTCCCCCATCCATCGCCCTTCGTCTGTCTCATCTGGTTTCTCTCTGGTCCCAGTAATCAAGATACAGAACCAGCCCCCAGTGGTGCTGCCCATCGCCCCTCAGTCTGTGGACCACGGCCTGCCCTTGTGGGTCACCTCACCCACCCACAGGGCAGGAAGCAGGTGAGGCTCCATGCCCTGCTTTTGGTTGGCCAGCGGGGCAGAGCCACGTTCCCAGGCCCCGGCTGCCTCCCCAGATGGAATAAAGGAGCCTGTCCTACCTGGGCCCCCACACCCTGGTGGCCTGGCCCGCCCTGCCCCCCACCCAGGGCATCTGCCTTCCCTCCTGGTGGGGAAGTGACTTGACCTGTGAACCCCAAACAATAAACATGATCCCTCCAACTCATCTGTTTCTGTCTGGCTTTGCTGGGGTGTGGAAGAAGTGGGGTGGGGGAAGCTGCCGTGCAGATCCTGGGGGGCCTGGCTCCACAGCTTGAGGGTCCTACCTGAGATGCCCCATGGACAGCAGCCTGGAGCCACATGAGCAGACAGCCCTTGGGTCACTTCTGTCTGGGCTTCCACCTGGGCTGGTCTCAGACCCCACCCCCCCAATCACACGTGTGCTGTGGGGAAGCCAGGGGGCTCCAGATGTGAGCTAGGCCCAGAGGGGCAGTGGCTTGCACTCAGCCACATCGCAGGGCCGACTGGTGAGTGGAAGCAGACACCTGAGGCCATAAGATTCTGAACTTTTATTTTTCTGGCATGAAAAGTACAAATAATTAAACAATTCCATGTAAAAGTCTGTTACCGCGGCCAGGCCTGTAATCCCGGTAATAAATAGTGTCTAAACTCAACGCAAAGTGTTCTTGTTGGGTTTTGGGGGTTTTTTTTGTCTTTTTTTTTTTTTTTTGTAACAGTTCTTTATCACCTCCAACATGGACTCTGTCTTGATTTGAAACCATCCAAATAAATAACAGGATGAAGGGAGGGCTGGAGGGGCTGAGCCTCTTCCCCATGGGCCCTGCCCCTGCCCCACGCAGGGATGCGGAAGACCCCAGGCCCCACCTCCCCTGGGGTGAGGGGCTGGCCTCCAGGAAAGGGGCCTGGCTGGCTGGGCTGAGTTCTGTGTTTTAGAAAAAGGAGTCCCCTCCCAGTTGGGGGTGGCAGGGGCCCAGGGCCTCAGTTGAGGGGGTGTGGGGAGGTGCCCCCTCTCTGGAGCCCGGCCTCCCCCAGGGTGGGGGACAAACCCAGCCCTTATTGCTCACAGATGCCTCCGCCACGCTGTCCACGTGTGGACACGCGTCGCTGCGGGCGGACGGCAGAGGGGAGAAAGCCCCAAGAAAACAGAGGGAGAGGGATGGACCCGCTGGGGGGCCTGCCCTGCTGGAGGGGAGCGGGGAGGTTGGGGAGGACTTAAAAACCACAAGAATAAATAGGTTCGTGTATCAAGAACAAGCTAGGGTTTCACCAGCTAAATAGGACTGAAAAAATTCTCAAGACGAGCAAAAATAATCCCATTAAAGACCCCGGACGTCGCTGGCTGCAGGGACCGCCCTGCAGAGCACAGGCCCCCCCACGGGGCGCCGCTCGGCTACCATTACTGTTATTAATAATTATTATTACTTTAATGATTCCACTTCCCCTTTTATAAATAAATTAGGCATAACCACGTCTCGGCAAAACTTAAAGAAACAAAGAGAACATCGTGGTTCCTTTAAACTTGCAAACTGGATGAAGGAACAGAAATATACACAAATGTCCTTACAGGGCAACAAGGATAAATAGTTAACATAGCAATAAGTTAAAACTACAAGAAGCTCAATTCGGCAAAAAAGTACAAGAAAGTTAACTGGTGCCAGTTTATGTCTTTTTTTTTTCTTTTTTTTTTTAAATCTCTTCTGTGTGTGTGGTTTTTTTTCTCTTCCATTTTTTTTTTTTTTTGTCGCTTTTTTCCTCTTCTGTTTGTGTTTTTTTGTCGCTTTTTTGATTTTTTTTTTTCTTTTTGTTCCTTGCAGCAGAAGCTCCACAGACGTTTAATAACAACACCGGGAGGGGTGGGGGAGAGAGAGCTGGGCAGTCAGATGGGGCCAAGGCCAGACACCAAACGCAGGGACACCGGAGGAGGGGCTGAAACTGGGGTTTGCCATTCTCGGTTCTGACTGGGCCCACTGTGGGGGTGAGGGGCGAGGGCTCCCGGGGGCTCCGGCCTTTGGCTTCTGTTGGATTTTTTTTTTTTAAACAAAGAATGAAAACTAGGAGGATGGAAAAGTCCAGACAGAAGCCGAGGCTGGGGCTCGGGATGGGGGCTGCTGCGTCCACTGCCCTCACTGATCTGGAAAGACAGAAAAACCCAACAAACTGAAAGGGGGTGACAAGTGGACGGGAAGAAAAGATGGGGCTGGGCCCCTGGGCCAATCCACCCTGGGCCTGTCCAGGAAAGTGGTGGGCGCTTGCTGCTGGGGGAGGCTCTAGAGCGGGGAGGCTCAGGGCCCAGCCTCCCCCTGGCCTTGTGGGCCAGGGCCTTGGCCCAGGGAGGCTCAGCCCTAGGGTTGGGGGTGGGGGTTCCTTTGGCCTCAAGTGTTGTGGGGGGGGGCTGCCTCCAGCCCACCGTGATGCCAAAAGGGTAACGAGGTATCCTGTGTCTGGATGCATGGACGCTGTGTGTGCACGCCTGTGATCGTGGGCAGCAGGGACCACTGAGGAGCCAGGAGAGATCTCTGCAGAGAACCTGGGGCGGGGCCAGTGGGGCTGGAGTGTCGGGGGTGGGGTGGGGCCGGCCGGCCTTGCTAACGGAGGAAGTGGGCTATGGGCTGGGCTGGGGTCTGGGCTGTGGCTGCTCACCTGGGCCTGAACGATGCTGTGGGCGTGTCTGCGTGTCTCTGGGTGTTGTGACTATGTGTCTCCATGCCTGGGTGTCTAGATTTATGTCCAAATGAATCTGTCTCCACATGGCCACGTGCACGTGGGGTAATGTTCCCATGTTCACGTGTGCACGTGTCCACATTTGTCCTTGGCCACACCCACCTGTGGCCACCTCTGCCCTTGGCCACATTCGCCCATGTCCGAGTCCACCATGGCCAATCGTGTGTGGCCCCATACTTTGCTCTTCCATGTTTATCGGGCCAAGGAGTTTTCCTGAGGCGTGTCTCTGGGTCCCTCTGCTGCTGTGTGTCCCTGGGGGTGTGTACATGTGCCTGCCCCTGTGGATCTTTGCGTGGCTGTGTTTCTCTGTGTGGCCCCACGGACCCTCAGCTCCTAAGCCCTGCTCCCTGTCCCTGCCCCAGTTGGTAAACATAACCTGCCAAAATATTTTTTTTTGTCTTTTTTTGTGTTTTTTTTTTTTCAAGTTCAAGAATCCCCAGTAAAAATTCTCCACGAGGTCTTTTTTCCCTTTTTACAAAAATAGAGTTTTTCTTCCCCTCCCCCCCCCCCCTTTTTTTTTTTTCATTTTGTCTCTGTTTCCAGCCCCTCCCCCTGCTCCTCACATTCCACACCAAGGGGCTCTGGGCCAGGGCTGACCACACCCCTCTCATGTTTCACTTTTTTGGGGATTTTTAAACCTGTTCCCCCCCTCTCAGGCTCACCTAGGTAACTGGGAAGGCCTGGGCAAGGGGGCCTGGGAGGGCACCCCCAATGCCCCCCACCCCAAGCCATCCGTGGAGGGTGGTTGAGTGGTGGGCTAGGGGCACATCTCTGCTTTCATTTTAGCCGAAAAAGGAAACAAAAACCTTCACCATGAACGAAACCAAGACGAGAGAGTGAACAGCCCAGCCTAGTGGGGAGGGGCGTTGGGGTGGGGGAGGGGGCCCCCAGGCACCCCCCATTCCCTGCAGACCCTCCCACCAAGTGCTCACCCTGTGGCTTCTGCAGGGACGCAGGGCCCTCGTGCCGTCCGTGGTCTGCCTGCGCTGTCTCTCTCGGGCCCCCTGTCTCTCTCTCTCTCTCTCTCTCTCTGTCTCTGCTGCCCGGGGAGGGTGGGGAGGGCGGCGGCGCCTCAGGCCTTGTGCTGTTTGCTGGTCTTGAAGGACACCTGCAGCACGCGCTCGCCCAGGCGGTAGCCGTTGAGGCTGGCGATGGCCATGGCCGCCTCGTCGTAGTTGGTCATGGTGACGAAGCCGAAGCCCTTGCACTTGTTGGTGGTGAAGTCACGGATGACCTTGACGTTGGTGACCGCCCCGAAGGGCCCGAACAGCTGCCACAGGACGCTCTCGTCCGCTTCCGGAGACAGGTTGTACACGAAGATGCACCAGCCGGCGCCCGCTGCACCCCCCGACAGGCCCACGCCCGCAAGGCCGCTCATGCCATCGATGGCGATGGGTGAGAACCTGGCGATGAGCGACAGGGGACTACTTTGGGGGTCACGCGGGCTCTGCCCTGACCCCCGGCATGCCCCCTGACCCCTCTTGACCTCTGACTGTGCAGTGACCTCGGGACTGTGTGACCCCTGCATTGGCCCTGTGACCTCCATCTGAGACCCCATCCACCTCAAACCTCACACTCTGAGCCACCAGCCCCCCATCTCTACCCTGAAGCCCTGTCCTGACCCCTGACCCTCTCTGAACGTTAGGTCCTCACCCATGATCCTTCCCTGAGCCCCAACCCACCTCCTGGGCCCATGACCTTGGACCCCACCTGGTCGTCAGCCCCTTCCCCTTCGCCTGGCTACCACCCTCCCCTTGGCATTTCTTCCCACCCAATTCCTGTCCTCACCACCCACTCAGACACCGCCCGACCTCACCCTTGGCCACGCCGCCTCTTTTGCCACACTGGCTATCCTGCCAGGAGGAGGCCCACCCGGGAGGGCAGTGCTGGAAGCAGGGTGCGAGTGTGGCCTTTACGTGTGCCTTGCTGGTTATTCAGGTCTCCGCTCAGATGTCACCTCCTGGGGTGGCTTCCTCTGACTCACACGGTGGTCACCGCCTCCCTCTGACCCTCTCAGCCTTTTCCTACTTATGTACACACGTATGCACATAGGTGGGCTTCCCAGGCGGTGCTAGTAGTAAAGAACCCACCTGCCAATGCAGGGGACATAAGAGACCTGGGTTCGATCCCTGGGTCGGGAAGATCCCCTGGAGAAGGGCATGGCAACCCACTCCAGTATTCTTATCTGGAGAATCCCATGGACAGAGGAGCCTGGCGGGCTACAGGCCATGGGGTCACTAGGAGTCAGACACAAGTGAAGTGACTTAGTAGGCACACATGTATGTATGTATGTTTTTTGGGTTTTTTTTTGGCTGCACCTCGAGGCATGCAGGATTTTAGTTCTCCGACCAGGGATTGAACATGCTCCCTCTGCAGTGGAAGCTCAGAGTCTTAACCACTGGACCACCAGGGAAGCCCTCAGGCCTTTTCCTATTTACATCGGATATTTATTCTCAGCTCCATCTTCCCTGTGAGTTTCTGTTCCCTCCACGTCCAGGCCCAGAACAGCTCCCAGCACCAGTCAGCCCTCGGGAGGGGTGTGTGGCGTGAAAGAACAGAGGAAGGGGCAGAACTGGCTTCACCACGTTCCGCGCTGGCTCCCTGCCTTCCTGAGGCTCCTCTACACCTCAGGACCCAGGACACCAAGGGCCTTAGCTGTTTATATGATTGCTGGGCTCACTCTCTCCTCCTGGACTTTGCAAAGCCATCTCTGCTGCCAGGAACCCTGATTCTCTTCTGGCCCTGAGTGATGTCCCCATTGGATGCCCATCAACCTGTCACTACCCTCTTCACCTCCCAGATCACTGTTCATCTGTCTCCTTCCCCAGACGACTGAAGTAAGTAATAATATTAACAATAATAAGAACTGCGGCCTTTTACCAAGTGAGCCCACACTGTGTGCCAAGCATCAAGCTCAGTGTCATTTCATTTCCACCAGGGCCACCAGGGCCAAGTCTGACTGGAACATGCTGGGCCCCCAGCCCCAAGCCACACTCCTGACACTCAGCATGTGCTCAGTCTTGATGCTATAGACACAGGGACCTTCAGAGGATCAGGGATGTGTACAGTATAGCAGAGGCCTCAGAGTTCCTTGCCAGCTAAGAGGCAGAAAGGCGGCGGCATCCTGTGACTGTCAGCACAGATGACCAACAGTGGCCAGTGGGGGCACAGCTGTGACCCAGGTAACCCTGCCTGCCTTTCAGTGGAATGCAGAAGGCCACGGATAGGTCCTCTGGGTCCAAATTTCACAGTAGCCCTTTTAGGCACTTAGTAGACTCAATATCCCCCAGATCTCTTGATGGCCACACTATGCCCATACATGGGCGGTCCTGGGGGTGAGGTGGGGGAGGATTCCATCAGGGCAAAGGCCCCAGGAGGGAATACTGAGGGGCTGGGGGCAGCGGGGCAGGGGCACTCTTACCTCTTGACTCCGTAGGCCATGTTGAGCAAATTGTCCAGCCTGTGGAGGCAGAAGGGGTGGTCACTGGTGGCTTCTGGGCACACCCCCAGGCTGTTACACTGGGCAGCCAGCCTGCCCTCCCCGCCCCCACCCAGCAGTCCAGCAGTGCCGCCGGCCCTGCCCCCGCCCGCTTGCTCCCCGCCCGGCTGGACACCGCCTGGCACGGAACCGTGGTCACTCACTCGGGCACCGCCTCTTGCCTGTCCTGCCGCTACCCACTCTTCACTGGCATCCTCGCCCTCCCACACCGGAAGAAACCCAGTCTTGCTCTTCCACGCACCCCCCCAACCTGCCCCCAACTCCAGCTCTTGGGTCCCTAGAAGGGAAGTTTCAAATTTCTTCTCCAAAGTGCCTGGGTCAGGCAAGTGACACGGCCTCTCTGAGCCTCAGGGTCCCTGGGGACCCTCTGTCCCTCAAGGGACAAGATGGGCTCTGATCTCATGGCATCACTGAGCAGAAAAAGTAAGGGTGCCTGCCCCCCAGGGAGCACTCTGTGGCCTGCACCTGTGGAACCAGCAGCTGGAGCCACGTGCCCAAGGGAGGGGGCAGCCGGGGCGGGCCTGATGGGGTGGTTCTAGAACTCTTGACGCCAATAATAATACTCATAGTGGCCTGTGCACATTGAGTGCCTGCTGTGTACAAGGGCCTGGCCTCAAGACACGACAGCCCCCCACATTTCCTCTTTTCTGCCCTCAGCAGCCCCAGAGTGTGGGCGCCGTCCTGGTGTCTCTCCACTGTGCAGGAACGGGGTTCAAGGAGGGCAGCTAACAAGCCTAGGGCACCCTGGTTCTGGGGGTCTGGGGTATCTACGGGGCAGGGAGCGGCAGGGGGCTCACCGGAAGCGCTGTGTCTGATGGTGCAGGGGGCCTGCGTAGCGCCGGGCTGAGGACTGGTAGAGGTGGGTGAGCAGGGCCTGGCCCGTCTTCTGACTCGGGTTGTTGGCAAACTTGACCGTGATGGGCTCGGCCGCACCCAGCGGCTTCTGCCCGTTCAGTCCTTTGATGGCCTCCTCGGCTTCGATCCTCTTGTCAAAGCGGATGAATCCCACTCCCCGAGAGACTCCTGCAGTGGGGTGGGAGGGCTTCATGGGGACCCCGCCCCCTCCTTGTGACCCCGCCCCGTCCCATGTGACCCCGCCCCCTCCTCGCTGCCATTTGTTTCTCCACTCTGGTCCCACCTGGGTGTCTCTGACCTGCGTGCCCCCGCCAGATAAGCACTCCCCGGCAGCCTGACCTGTGACCTGGTCCACCAGGATGCGAGAAGTGATGATGCGGCCGTACTGGGAGAAGAGCTGCTCCATCTCTTTCTGGCTCATGGTCTTGGGGAGCCCGCTGACGTACAGGTTCGCATCTCGGATAGAGGCAGAGCTGGGTCTGGCATAGGATACCTGGGGGAGGGGGTCAGGCAGACAGGGCTGAGGGCAAGACCCATTTCACAGATGGGGAAAGTGAGGCAACACCCAAACTGCCGCTGAGCGACATACATCCCTCATCCGTTTACTCAACAAATACCGTGAGTAGTCAGTCACCATGGGCAGTGAGCGGGAGTCAACCGGGGCGTGGTGACAGGGGACGTGGCTGTGACCAAGACAAACAGGCGTGGCTTGGCCTGCGTAGAGCGATGACAAATACCTGCGCCTCTGGGGTCACGTGTCTCCCTGGGGACCTTGGAGACCTTCGAGTCTCCAGCTCATGCTCTCAGACTGGACATTACATCAACATCGACACGTCTGACTTCTTTGGAAAGTGAACCTGGGGTGCCGGCTGGTCTCTTCCCTACTACACTGGGCACCCTCAGGGTTACTTAGATCTTTAGACTGCAGCTCAACCCTGACAGCTCCAAAATGTCTGAGCCAGCACTGGGACTGGCTCCCGAACGGCACACCTGTGTGATACCTGCCTCCAGGTGTCCTGTGAGGAGGCTTCATGGTGGGGGAGTCACGCTCAGCAACCCCAACTTGCCTTCACTCAGTAATGACAGTTCTGTCGTTCCAGGTGCTCAGGTCCCCAGCCTCGGGTTGTCCTTGACGTGTCCATCACACCCACGTCTAAACACCATCTTCCTATCAGTTCCACCTTCCTCCTTATCCAGAATCCACATCCTTCTCCCCATTTTCCTCCCATTGCTCATCCAAACCAGTGTAGCAGGCTCCGCCCTGGTTCCCTGCTCCACTCCACCACCCGCCACAGGCTGTTCCTCTCACAACAGCCAGGGGGCACCTGTGAACATCTGAACCAGGTCACATCCCTCTGCTTAGAATCCTGTGTCTTCCACCGTCCTGAGTTCAAGTGCTTCTCGTGGCCCACAGGGCCTTGCATGACCTGACCCATCACCACCACCCCCCTCATTTCAGCCCACTGTCCCCCTCAACATCTCTATTCCAGGCACACAGGCCTCCAGCCACGTTCCCAAACACTAGATTTGCTCCACCCTCAGGGCCTTTCCGCTTGTTCCCTGTGCTTCCAACTCTCTTCCTCGCCTTTCTTCTCCTCCATGCCTCATTTGAAATATCCTCCTGGTCCTTTCCCATCCGCGTTTGGTCCTCCACCCTTAGCCCTGTTCCTGTCTTTCAGAGCCCTTCTCTCAGTTATGAAATAGACACATTTCCCTATGACCCTTCGATTCATTAATTGTGGTCCAGCCCAACAATGAAACTCTCTGCAACTGTTTGAAAAATGGTGGACGTGTATATTTATTTCCCCGAAACAGTGGTGAGTATTGTAAAGTGGGGGAAAGAAAAGTCCATTTACAGAGCAGTGACTATTGTGTGACCCCATCTCATTGTGTGTTTATCAATGTCCTGGAAACATGGTCTAGAAGGCCCACCCCTAAACGCTGACAGGGTGAGCTAGAGCTATCGGGGGCAGGGGGTGGTAGGATAAGCTCCTTCCTCCCTTATTTCTGCTGATGTCTATCTTTCTGTTTCTTCTGAATTAACCTCTGGGTAGAGGAGGTCATTGTCAAGGGTCCAGCTTTTGTTTAGGGAGGTGAGTTGAGAGGGCATATTACTTCACTAGAAGTCACTAATTAAAAAATGAACAAAATGAATAAATTGGGCCAAGGCTGTATTGCTTCTAGGGTGGGGGCAGGGGGATTCTAATTGATGTGATTGTGCACACCTGGGGTCCTCCAGAAACCTAAAAGACAAACACCACAGCTGCTATTATTTCTGTAATAACAATGAAAGCTCATGGCAATGTATTTGATGGCTTCCACTCTTCCCCACCCTGGGGGCTGTGCCTTTTTTAGGGATGTCGACTTGTTGATGGATTGGAGCTGGAGGACAGGGGAAGGGACGCTGAGCTCCTGGGTGGGTTTTGGGGTCAGGGGTCATCCAAGGCAGAGTCGGCATTCAGGGTCCTTTCCCATCCTTCCATGATGTGGGCTGACCCAGGTCCTTCACCTGGGTATGGGCTCCTCCTACACCCCTTGACCAGGATAGGGCTTGGCACATGATGGCTGGCTGGAAATATTTGGGGTACAACCTGCTGGAACACCTAGTTAGGACCAGCCAAACACCACAGCCACCCAGGCACACACACACACACACACACACACACGCACACACGTGCATGCACACACACGCACGTGCACACACACACATGGCCTCATTGGGATACCCACTGCACAGCTCCGGGGACTACACCACCTGGAGGGGGACACAAGGCCATTGCCACATTCATGGAACTCCAGGGTAATTACAGGGAGCATCACAGAACCAACCACACACCTGTCACACCACTGCACAAGCCCTCAGTGTCACACACATTCCACCGCGAATGGGGCACAGGTAGACACACCCACACAATTTCTCCATAACACACAAACACCCTGTCACAGCAAGACACACCCACGCAGCCCCACCAGGTCACAGCCAGAGTTGCAATGTGTCACAAAGCACCTACCAAAAAAACACCCTGTCCTCAGAGACACATAGTAACACAACCCGAGTCTATAACAGCCAGACCCACATGATAACAGCCACTTACATAGCCATGGGGTCCCACAAGCACCATGTCTTACAGCCTAGGGTGCCACACACCACACACACATGCCACATCACCCGCATACAGTAGCCCTCTGGGTTATACAGTTCATCACTAGGGTCCATCCTCACAACCTGGGGGCTTCTGGGTCTACTTGGCCACAGAGGGACCCATCAGACCCTTGTCAGCCTCCACATCAGGGAGAGGAAGAGATTCCACCACCTCTGTTTTTATGGTAAACTGGGGTCCAGATGGGCATCCTCCCCAGCCTACCCTCCCTCAGGATTCAGAAGCAGATTTGTGGGGCGGAGCCCAGACACCCCCAGGCAAACCCGGAGAGGGGGTTTCCATGGTGATTCCCACCCCTCCTTCCCAGGGAACCTGGGATCGCAGGGTCCCAGCTGCAGCTGCTGAGAGGGGAGGTCATGGCGGGGGAGGGGCATTGCACAAAGGTGGGGGAAGGGCCCACCCCAATCCCACCCTCCCAGACCCTAGTTAGGCTCCAGATGGCAGATGGGCCCCCCCTCTCCCCCATTTCCATGACAAAGGCAGGGAGGGGGCTGCACACCAGACCCTGGTCACTCTCTCCTACAGCTGAGGGCGTGGGTACCTCCAGGGCCTGGCTGACTCCTTGAGTTGCCAGAGAATGTGGGGTTGATCATCTCCCCATCAACAGGTGAGGAAACAGAGATTCAGAGAGGCAGTCATTGGCTCTGGGGCCCCAGCCGGAAACCCTCTGGGGAATGATTTGAGCCCCTTAGGGGATGAGCCTTGGGGGAAGATGCGTGGCAGCAGGGGGAATGGACATGTGGGGAGGGTACGGCCGAGAGGGTTGGGTGGCAGTGGAGGGGTCAGTTCAGGTGGGTGGTAATAAAGAGGAAATGGGCACAGCCAAGATGGGGAGTCACAGGAACGAGGGCGCTGACCTTGATGGTCTTCGTCTGCAGTTTGAGGCCGTTGAGGGTGTTGATGGCTTTGTCTGCATCGTTGGGGTCAGAGTAGTTCACAAACCCGTAGCCGAGGCTCTGCCCTGCAGGCAGGACCAGGACAATGACCTGCCAGGGTCCTCCCAGACCCAGGCCTGAGAGGCTGACCACCCCCATCACGGTTATGAGAACCAGGATTCCACCCTTATTTATTCCCCCAGTGTACCACCCTAGCCCCAGGACACCTCAGACCCCTCCAGTATCCCACCTAGGGTTGCATCTGTCTCCCCATCACACCTCACACTCCACCGAGGTCCCACCTGCTGCTACTTGGGCTCACGCCTGGCGCCCCATCACACCTCAGACCCCACGAAGGTCCGACCTGCTCGCATCACCTCCCACCCGGGGTCACCTCTGGCTAAACACCACACATGTACTTCTGTGGCTACCCCTACCCGCCAGAAGCCACACCTGTGATCTTGTCCCGAACCAACTTGCAGGACTCGATGTCACCAATGCTGCCGAAGAGACTCTTGAACTCATCCTGGGTCATATTCTGGGGCAAGTAGTTGACAATGAGGTTGGTCTTGCTGTCATCAGTGGCTCCGTTTGTACCAAGGAGTGGCCCGTTGGGCAGGGCCGGGCCGGCCGGGCCCCCTGCCACCTGAGACTCCATGGCGCCGAGTATCTGCTGGAGACAACAGGCCACACCCACTCACGGCCCGGTCCCCACACCAGGGTTTGTGGTGACACATGTGTCATGTCTGACATAGGCTTGAACATTCAGAGGGGATACGGTACTATTCTCACAGCCCCTCCCATTCCTTGAGCACTGGGGAAAGCACTTTATGTGTGATTTTACCTGGAAAAAGTCCATATATAAATTCCATATATGCCCTTTTGCTGTGTGCTTGCCTGTTTGTCTAAAACTAATCTACATTTTTAGAATAATGAAATGAATACTTTGGTATTCAGAATTAAAATTGCAACCTTTTTAATTAGCTTTGAAACCCTCACAATACCATTCCTGACCTTGTACTTTGCTCTTCCCACCAAAGGCAAGTCCCATCCAAATATGTTAATATTTCTTTTGCTTCATGCATAATTTTCCCACCGGGCATTTATACCCCCCCCCCACCTGTTTTTCCACTGAGCCATTTTGGATTTTTTATGTATAATATAATAACACCTGCAAATAATGATACTTTTCTTTATCGCCAATTATACCTATTATTTATTTTTCTTGTCTTATTGCAGGGGCTACCTTGTGATAGTGGCTTTTCTATTCTTGAAACATTAAAGGAAATGTTGTAAATATTTCACAGCTAAATATGATCTTTACTATAGGTTTTTTGGTAGATGACCTTCATCAAGTTAAGAATGTTTAATTTTATTCCTAGTATCCTAACAAGATATTTTTTTAAGGAATGGATATTGAATTTTATTGACTATCTTTTTCTACATCTATTGAAATGATTTTTTTGCTTTACTATATTACAATCATGAATTGCATTAATTGATTTTCTAATATTAAGTCAACTTTCCTAGGCTAAACTTGGTCATGTTGCAGTTTTGTTTATATACATTGTTTGATTTGATTTGCCACATTTTTTGATGGTTCTTTGGGATTTTTAACCTCTGTATTCAAGAATGGGCTTCACTGGTGGCTCAGATGGTAAAGAATCTGCCTGCAATGCAGGAAACCCTGGTTCAACTCCTGGGTTGGGAAGATCCCCTGGAGAAAGGGATCTTTTACCTGGAAAAAGTCCATATATAAGGAAGACTCTACCAATCTATTTGGGTTTCTAGGTGAGGGCAACCTATTCACCAACTGTGTCATAGGAGAAGACCTAAGGAAATGCTGGCTACTTTCCCTTCTCATGCCCATGACAGATTGGTATTCCAACCAATCCCAGCACTGTGGGGAGAATACTACCCACTCCAGTATTCTTCCTGGAGAATCCCATGGACAGAGGAACCTGGCAGGGTACAGTCCACAGGGTCACAAGGAGTCAGACACCATGTTTTTTGATCCATGCAACAGCTCAGTAGAAGTTAATTATGCTATGACAAGGAATATGAGGCTCAGAGATGTTAAGGAACTTATTGAAGTCACACAGCATATCAGTGGTGGCGTTTGGAATGCAAATGCAGACCTGTCTATGCCTGAAGACCACTCTCTACCATTCTCTATGATGTCAGGTACCAGCTCCAACTCCTTGTTTTGTGTCCTTGGATATACTCCTTATTCTCTTGGGGGCCTCTGACTCACTTTGCTGAAAATTCAAAAAATTAGCCATGTCTATCTTAAGAGTCATGTAGAGAAGAATTTTAAAGCCACATCTGGGCTCAGTAGGAAACAGTGCTGGGATTGGTTGGTATTGTCTGTCATGGGCATGAGAAAGGAAAATAGCCAGCATTTCCTTAGGTTTTCTCCTATGGCACAGCTGGTGAAGAGGTTGCCCTCACCTAGAAACCCGAATAGATTGGTAGAGTCTTCCTAGAGGGATGAATTAAGAAGGATTTAAAGCCACATTCAGTTTTAGGAGGAAAGACCATTTGTGATTGATTAGCAATGTCTATTGTGGTGATGGAATTAGAAAGAGCCAGCAGGTTCACATCATCTCAGTCATCCCTGCCCCAAAATATAACCATAGTTGTTCCCAAATTTCAGGCATACTGTGTACTAGACACAAAGCAAGGCCCTCTACAAGCAATTTTTTTTTTTTCTTATTCACAACTCTGGAAAGAAGAGGGTTTTATTTCCTCAGCTTAAGAAATGTTGTTTAGGTGCTAAATCTTATCTGACTCTTTTGAACCCCATGGACTGTAGCCAACCAGGCTCCTCCATTTGTGGGATTTCCCAGGAAAGAAAACTGGAGTGGGTTGCCATTTCTTTTTCCAGGGGATCTTCCTGGCTCAGGGATTGAACCTATGTCTCCTGCATTGGCAGGCAGGTTTTTTACCACTGAGCCACCTAGGAAGCCTGCTTAAGAGATGCTACAGATTAAAAAAAAGAGAAAGAGAGAGAGATACTGTGGACTAAATGGGCTTTCTAGAGGGCACTAGTGGTAAAGAACCTGCCTGCCAGTGCAGGAGAATAAGAGATGGTGGTTTGACTCCTGGGTTGGGAAAATCCCCTGGAGGAGGGCACGGCAACCGACTCCAGTATTCTTGCCTGGAAAATCCCATGGACAGAGGAGCCTGATGGGTTATGGTCCATAGAGTTGCAAAGAGTTGGACACGAATGAAGCGACTTAGTATGCACACATATGGACTAAATGCTTGTGTCCCTCCAAATTCATATGTTGAAACCCTTATCCCCAATGAGATCGTATTTGGAGGCAGGGCATTTGGGAGGTAATTAGGTCATGAGGATGGAACCTTATAAAAAGGGACAGATGATCTCTCTCCACCATATGAAGACAGTGATAATATAACCATCTGCAAACCAGGAAGCTGGCCCTCACCACGAAACCAAATCAGCTCACACCTCAATCTTGGACTTCTCAGCCTCCAGAACTATGAGAAATAAATGTCTGTTGTTTAAGCCACCCAGTTAATGGTATTTTAGTCAGCCTGAGCTGACTAAGACAACAGATGAGGAGAGTGAGGTTCAAAGATGTTAAAAAAATTACCAAGATCATGCAGTCCCTAAATGGTGAAACAGGGATTTGCACATGAGCTTTAATGATTAGAAGTCTGTAGTTCCGACTTCTACTGCCAACGAAGCCTAGTGCTGGCTCACATTTTCCAGCTGTGTCCTCAGGTATGCTGCTTCACACTTCTGGACCTCTGCTCCATTTTGTTGAAAACTCCAACAAATTACCAGTATAGTGACTGGAGAACAATCTAAAGCTGATTGTGGGTGCAGCTGAAAGCATTCTGGGATCAGTTGGCTATTTCTGCCATATACACAGTCATGGGAAGTGGAAGCAGGCTTGTCCTGTCCACCAGTCCTGCTGTTAATAATCATCCCACTCCACTGACACCTCCCATGTCAGGTACCCGGGAAAGAACTCAGAGACACTGCATGATATAAATGGAAAATTTGATTTCAAACCTGGATATGTTGGACTTCAGAGCTGTTTTTAATGACTGGCCAGTACACTGGGGGCAGCTCTGCCACCATATGGCTGTATGTCCTCAGGGACAATCTTAGCTCTTCTTTGGGCTTCTGCTTCCTTGTCATTTATTCTTATTTAAAGGATGGCTCAGAGGGTCAACTGCCCTGCAGCTCCAATTGGCTGGGAGTGGCTGTCTGGGAGATCTGCCTGGAGAATTATTCTTTGATTTTATTTTTTTCCATTCTTGGCTGCATCATGAAGCTTATGGGATGTTAGTTCCCCGATGGGGGATTAAACCTGGGCCCTCGGCAGAGAGCATGGAATCCTAACCTCCGGACCACTGGGGAATTCCCTGGAGGATTATTCTGAAGCCACATCCAGGCTCACCAGGAACACAGACTGGGTTGATTAGCAATGTCTGCCGCAGGCTCCTGAAAGAAAGCAATAACGTACACTCCACACATCAGCATCCTGGTCTTAAAACAACACTTTACTAATAACATAGCCATGAGTTGAGGGCCTGCTATGTGCCAGACAACATTCTCTATGTGAAAATTCCCAGGCAGTTCTCCCAACATTGAATGTTATGGAGCTCTTCTCATCATTTAACAGATGACAGATGAGAAAGCTGAGTCTCATTAAAGGAGAAGGGATTGAAACAAGGTTGGGTAGCATGCAAAACGTGGACCAAGAATTCAAATCCAGGGTTTAGACTCCAGGGTCCACTCTCTTAGTGAAATGGCCAATAATAAAAATAATAATAACAAAGCAAAGCCGAGTACCCACTCAACACCAAGCCCTGGGCATCACTATGTTTAAACCTACTCTGTTGGCCGAGTCTACTCATTCAACTCAACAAGTTATTTACTACCTGCCACCAAGCTGCTGCTTCCACCCTCCTCACTGTGTGTCCTTTGACATTCACGCTGCCTCTCTGGGCCTTTGTCCGACCACTAAAAATATGGTACAGAGGTCCCCCATGTATGGAGAGCTGGAGTCTGAATTTATGTCTGGGTTCAGCAAGCTAGAATTCTGTGATCAGCTGATGATGTCTATGGAAGCCCCCAAAAGCAGGACATAGTACGCAAGACACATCAGATTCCAGCTTTGGAAGCCCTACTATGTGCACTGAACATGTATAATTTTCATTGCTTTTCCACAATCATGCTGAAAGCTGGAGATCATCTCCATTTCTCAAATGGAGAAATGCCCAGGATGACAAGCAAGTGGCAGGGATGGTTTTTGGGTTTGATTCCTTGATCTGATGACCCTGGAGCCTACAAGGTTACTGGTTCTCCACCTTCCTGAATGCTATCCTTAACTTGGATGGGGTTAAGAGGAGATTGGGGGGTTCCCACTAGGGATCTTGAAGCCCAGCCTGCTAGTCTCAACCTCCCCCCACCCCATCTCCCTCGCATCTGTGCCAGAGCTTAAAGGGATCAGTGTCGCATTTCCTCTGAGGCTGAGCCGGCTGAGCTGCTAATGGGGATCGGATTGGTGGAGGCCACACCCTCTCAGGCTTCAGCCCACAGCAAATGCATGGCCCAGGATGACACAGGGATCACGGAGACCTGTGAGGTCTCCTAAGGGCTGAGGGCTGTCCCAGGACAGGGATGGAGAGGTGAAGTCAGAGGGGAGGAAGGCAGATTAAAGACAGAGCAAGTGGGAAACTACCCCCCACTCCCACCCACACTCTCTCTGGCTCTTCCTCTGGGTCTTTCCCTCCTTCTGCTACTTTTCCTGTTTCTCTTCTCCTCTGTCCGAGTCTCTCCCCTCCTTCTTTCCCCTCTGAACCCTTCTCTGTCTCCCCTTCCCTCTCTCTCTTCCTCCAACTCTTTGGTACCATCATACAAACATCTGACATATGGATTTTTGCAGTGAACACACCTGAGATCATTTTGCTGTGTCAGACCCCCTTGGCCTCCAGCTGTGCCCCTGGTCCTAGTCACAGTGACAGATGCTTAGGTACCCACGACAATAGGGCATTGAATGGCTTTGCATGATAAGGCTGGACCACCACGTGGTGCTAAGTGAGCCTCCTACTTCTGGGTCCTTCTCCCTTCCTGCAGGGCCATCACTGTCTCAACTCATCCTCTGACTTCCTCCCAGCCTGTCTCAGTGGTGGGTCTCTGCCTGAGTACTCTCCATCAGAGTGACCAGGACTCCGAGGGCTCCAAGGCCCTTGTGTGACCTCTGACCACACGTTCTCCCCTTTGTGCATCAGCTTCCCTTTTTCAAATGGGGGCAGAGATCAAAGCAATGTATGCTGGGCTGTTCTGGGGGTGCTGAGGGTCCTCAGGAGGCCTCACTCTCATTCCTAGACCTGGGTGAGGAGCGTGAGACAGTGAGGGAAAGGAGCTGGCCTGAGATCACACAGCAGAAAAGGGTGGCCTCTCTCAGGCCTCCTTTCTCATAGCCAGGTGGGTGAGTCTCAAGGTCTGGAAGGGGAGAGGCCCAGGTATGGAGGGAGTGCTAAACATCCCCCCACTCATTATGCTCGCTACTACTCGAAAAAGAGGTCCGGGAAGAGATACAGGGTACAGAGACACACACGCAGAGACGTGAGAGACAGAAAGAGCGAAAGAAGGAGGCCCGGGCGCTGGGACCAGACAAAGGACGCTCGGCGGCGCGGGGAGCAGAGTCGCGCGGCGGGGGCGGGGGTGGAGCCGGGGTGGGGCTAAAATTGGCCAGCCCCGCCCCCGGGATACGCCCGGGCTGCCGAGTGGAGTGGAAATCCGAGGGCTCGGGCGAGGCCGGGCCCCTGGGGCCCCGGGGGCGGGGTCTAGATGGGCGGGGCAGGGGCGTGGTAATAAAGGGCGTGGCCGGGCGTGGCTGGGCGCTCGGGAGCTGACCAGCTCGGCGGCTGCTGAAAGCACCGGCGCTGGGCTACGGGCGCCGGCGGGCGGGCCGGCGGGCGCGTTCAAGGTCACCCCGCGGCCCTGAGCTCTGGCAGGGTGGGGCGCCTTGACCTGGCCTAGGGGGTCTGCCTGAGCCCCTTTCCCCATCCCCTGGAGGCGGGGGCACAGGAGCGGCGGAGCATTAACCCCCCCGCGGGCCCTTCTCTCCCCTCCCCCTCCCCGCAGCCTGAAGCGCCCGCGCGAGGCTACGGCCCGCGAAGAAGCGCCGAGAAACAAAGGGACGCGGCGGCGGTGGCGGCGGGCCCGCGGGGCCTCCGGGCGCGCCCCCTCCTCTCCCCTCCCCGCTTGCCGCAAGGTCGACGGGCTCGAGGACGAGATGCCCGGCTCCCGGGTGCGGTCGAGGCCCAGGGCGCGCGATCCGACGCCACCCCTTCCCTGGGGCTCTCGGGGACTCCTTGCCGCCTGGTCCTGGCCCAGCACCAGTGATTGGGGCGCTGCGTTTGCCTGGGAGGCCTGCTGAGTCCGGGCCTGGATGGAGGAGGCATCCTCCGCCGCCGCGGCCCCTCCCCCATCAGGCCTGCTGAAGGGGGCAATTCCGCCCCCAGGGCTCCGTAGGATGTCCTCCGAAACACAGGTCGATTCCCTAAGGCCTCTCAAGCCAAACTCTAAGCGCCCCCAGCACTCTGGGCGCGGCTCTGCCCACATTTAGGCCCCGAGGCTCGGTCCTACCCCCCCACCCGGGCCTAGCTAGGCCTGGTCCTACCCCCCCCCCCTCCTTCCCATCTCCTCGGAGCCTGTGCCTAAACCCTCTCCGACTAGGTTCCCTCTCAGCGACAGGGGAATACCTACAGTGACCATTCTTGTGTGCCCGGCGGGCGCGGTCCGTGTTGAGGGCGGCTCCGGGGGTCGTGCACTCTTTGGGGGGAGCTCGATGCTCACGCCGGGGTCCTGCCGGGGCGGCCTCTGGTGCGGCCGCTGCAGAGGTCTCGGTGAGGGCAGCGGATCCCTCGAGGGCCGGGGACGGGCCCGAGCCCGGGTACGCGAGCGCGGACAACCGGGCCCCGGGGTGGCCTGCGGGCAGCAGGGGATGGAAAGAGGGAGCGGGCGCGGGATTGAGAACGCCCCCTGCGCGGCCCCGCGGGGCCCGGGGAGGTTGCGCTTCCCGACAGAGATCTCGGCGCTCTGCCTTTCGCCGCCGCCCCTCGGCCCGGCTGGTCCGGTCCCCGGTGTTCAGTCCGCTCCCCTCGCCCGCCCTCCCTCCCTCCCTCCGGCCCTCGCTGCGCGCTCCGCGCTCTGGGCCGCGCCGCCGCCGCCCCCAGCCCTTTATAGCAGCAGCTGCTAGCGCCGGCGTCGCTTATTGGCTGCGGTAACCGAGCCCCGCCTCCTCACGGCGCCCGACGGCGCGGCAGGTGGAAGCGAGCGCGCGCTGGCCAGGACTTCGCACACACAGAAAGCACACACAACTTGGGGGCTCCAATACCCAGATTCAGGCCCTTCTGCCCTCGTGGATCTTACTTCCTGCGTTGGCGCCCCTTCTTGGGCGGGCTTTCGGCCTGGAAGACAGGAAGCGTCCCCCTCTGTCCAGTATCCCGGAGCTGGAGAAGCAGAGAGGGTGAGGAGGTAATGATGTCTCGATTGTACTGCCTTCAGAAGGTGCTGTCCACGTAGAAGACTGTAGAGGGACGAGGAACCAGGACTTCACTGAACAGAGGCCTGGGTCTCCTGGGTCCCTCCCAGATTTGGGAGAACCACATGGAGGAAGGTGGGGGTAGCTGAAGACCTTTTCTGCCTGCAGAAAGAATTGGGGCCCTGTGGATTTTGAGCAGGATAGGTTCTCTAGAGTTCAAAGTGGGTGGGGAATGGACATACCACAGTCAGGGGCCCTGCTCCAAAGGGAGTGAAGAAGTTTGGGGCTCAGGCTTCTAGGCAAACCCCGCTGGTGTCCTACAGACCCGGGAAACCATCAGGCCCTTCTCAGACCCCATAAATTTCGGGTTGACGGTTTTGCCGTGTAAATGTTCTGGCTTCCGGGGCTCGTGATTGATCCGCTTGTGGAGTCCCACTCCCTCTCTGCTAGGGGGCGGACCTGGCCTTTCTCTCAGGCTATACGGGGTGGCGCAGTCTCCTTTGGAGCGCGAGTGCACGTTTTTGTCGGGGCGGCCGCCAGTCTCGAGGAGGTGTTCTCACTAGAGCACTTAGGGGCACCTTCGAGTGAGGCTTCAGCACCACAGACAGCGGTCCGACGGCCAGGTCCAGGGCTCTGCGGGCGGGGTAGCCCGGATCCCCTAACTTGAGAGTCGCAACCTAAATTCTACCCTCGTCCCTGCACGCCCTTTTAGGTTCCAGACTGTCCGAGAGCGCCATCAAACCCAAGGAAGAAAGCCTAATTTGACCAATCAGGGATGGCCCCCGAGAGGGCCAATTGAGGGAAGATGCCTTCGAGATTGAGCCAATGGAAGTGCGAGCAGCCGAGAGCGCAGCCCCGCCGATGGAAAGGGAAGACCAATCGTAATAGCCCGCGCAGTCGGGGCGGTGGCGATGCGGGTCCCCGGCTGTCCCTATTTGGATTTGCCTGGGCTACCGACCTCGCTGGCGACCCCGGGCACCCCGACCAATGGCTTGTTCCCCGCCGCATGTTCCTCCTGGCTCCTGTCGGATCGGAAACTGTGCTTGTGCCGGGAAGGCTACTTCTGGGCGCGCAGACCCGGCTGCAGTTCCCATGGAAACTGCTGGCTCCCGGTTGTGCAGGGATAGCGAAGGGGGCTGAGCTTCGCGGGGAGGCTCGCGGGGGCGGCCCCAGCAGTCGGACTCGCTCATCCTCGCCGACTCATCCATCCCTGGCTGGGGTAGCTCCCGGTCCGAAGAATAAAATGAGGCCTAGCTGCGGCCCCGCCCCCACGAACTGGTGAGGAACCGGCGGGGCCAATCTGCGCGTGGCGCCACAGGGCTCCCCCGGGCACGTGCCCCGGCTCGCGGCTGCGGTCCCCGGAGTCACGTGGCTGCGGCCACCAGGGCCCACGCGGCTTGCGCGCCACCTGGCGGTCTCGTGGCCTGGAATCGCTCCCCATCCCTCTCCCTGACGGCCCGCATTGAGGAGGCGGCCGCCTCAGCATCCTCCTCTGGGAAATGGGGCCAAGACAGCCGCCCTGCCGCTGCCAAATCCCTCCCCACCCCCCGCGGTTTCCTGTTCCAGGAACACGCCGAGCCCAGCTCTACCTCGGGGCTTTGGCACTGGCTGTTCCTTCGGCTGGGCATTTGCCTCCTCCGGCTTCCTTCAGGGATGGAATCTTTATCATTCTGGTCTGTGCTCAAATGCCACCTCCCTAGAGAGCCCCCCAACGCCCCCCGACCACCAACCTAAGCAGCAGCCCCAGAAACTAATTATCATTCTACTTTCTGCGTGGCGCTTGTTACAGCTGTTGATGTTTAACTTAGGGGTTTACTGAACACCTCCCCAACTGGTCCCTGAGCTCTCCGAGTGAGGAATGAGTGTTCTCTGACGGAATTAAGAGAGGGAGTCAGATCCCGAGTCCTGAGAGATGTTCAATAGACTCCAGGGCCCCAACATTCCATCCCTGACCTTGTCAGAGGAGGGAGTGGACGGGCCTGCCAGGCCCAGGTAGCCGAGGCATAACGGAGTTTGACAGGAAAGGGTGCTGTCCGCTTCCGCCTTGCTCAGTAAAGGACCAGGTAGGAGACAGAGGGGCCCACCCACCTTCCCCCAATAGTCAAGCCTAGGGAAGAACATCTCCTTTCTTGCTCTTTAATCTCGCCCTTCTCTCTTGACACAGTTCCAGCAGTGCAACCCTAGGGGCCAGCTCCAGAAATCGGGCGGGGGTGGGGGACCTGCCCCGGGGGCCCAGCCCTAGAGCAGAGCAGGGGCGCCTCCTTCCGGCCCGCGGTCCGGGCGGCCCCCCGCGGATGTCCCGGCCCTGACAGGCCCGGGCATGGTGTCCAATCGGACGAATAAATAGGGGCGTTCAGTGGTCGGGGCGGATCAGGCGGGCTTGTGGTCCGGGTGGCTTTTGAGCGTGTGGAACTTGACGCTGTCCAGCTTCTCGAAGCGCTTCCCGCAGCGCTCGCACGTGAAGTTGTACTGCACCTCGGCCGTGTGCTTCTTCATGTGCCAGTTGAGCGATGCGCGCTGTCGGCACTGGTAGCCACAGATCTCGCACCTGGGGGAGAGCCCGCAGGAGGCATGGGGGGCGGGGGTCAGAGTGGACGGGCCGAAGAGCAGCACCGGGGAGGGGCCGCCTCGCCTGGGGGACTGGGCCCAACCACTAGGGCGGGGCCGGCCCAGAGAGGGGCGGGGCCACCTGGGGATACTCTGGAAACCCCAGAGGCGACGCTGGGAGCGTCACCCGCCTTAAGCCCTGCCCTGGGCGGGTCCTTCCTCCCAGCCCCTCGCGGAAGCCCGTCACTCACTGCAGAGGCGTCTCGCCAGTGTGCGTGCGCCGGTGTACCTCCAGGTGGTTCTTCCTCTTAAAGGACTTGCCGCAGGTTTCGCAGGTGAATTCACGGACACCTGAAGAAGACTATGATAACTAAGGCAGCTAAAATGAAGCGCAGCTACATCCTCGCAGGAGGCTCGGAGGCTGCCTAGGAAGGCGATTGGGCAGAGCAAGAATCTGAACTTGGATCCCTGAGGGGCACAAGACGCAAACTGCCAAGCCCGACTGGGCCTGAGGTTGACCCGAATATTGCACCTATTGGGGCGATTTCACATAAAAATCCAAAGTTCCAGCTTCTCAAAAAAGCTGAAGCCGTGCCCTCCCGCTGGGCATGTGGGGTGGCACCAGCGCTCCCCACGGACCTATATGCTATGACCTGGGTCAGGGAGGTGCTTGAGGCAGATGGAACAGAAATCCTGTCCCAAGTCCACTTCCCTACCCTGGTGGTTCAGTGTCCCTGCTCAGTCCTGAAACAGCTCCCACATAAGAATTGCTTGCCGAAGTGGGGAGCCCAGGGGCCAAGCTAGGGGAGAGACAGCCAGCCCCTGCCCAGCTACACATGACTTATGATAGCAGGTGTCCTTGTGACCATGCAGCTCCAGCTTACTGACCACTGGGGACATGCCCAGTGAACTGCTTTACTTCCACCACCTCACAGCAGCCCTTGTGGTGGACGTGGAGGAGGCTCTGCGAGAGGCAGCCCCGGGCCCAGGTTTCACCCTGCTCCCAGCCCTGGCTTCCAGGCCCAGGGCCCCCTGCCTGCAGCTCAAGCTGCCAGCCCAGCCTTGGGCCTGACCTGAGTGAATGATCATGTGCCGCCGCAGGTGGTTGGATAAATAGAACTTCTTGCCGCAGCCAGGATGAGGGCACACTTTGGTCTTCCCTTTCCGATGCACAAGGTTGACATGGTTCTGGGGGTGAGAGGGGCAGGAGTGGGTGCCACGGGCCCACCTTAGAGCTCTGCAGGGTGGGGACAGATGGGGGCTGGCTGGGTCTTGCCCTTGCCCTTGGGAGGGACTCCCAGATCCAAGCTGGGGCCCAGGGGCACAACTGGGATGAAAGGACAGCTTAACTGGGCACCTGCTCCAGCCAGGCTCTGGGCTGGGGCATCGGTCAGCCTCATCAGAACCATGTCAGAACCATGGAAGGGGCTGCCACCAGCCCAGCTTGTGGATGGGGAAACTGAGGCTCTGGAGGCTTAGTGGTTTGGTCTTGTCTTACAGGTGGGCAGTGTAGGACTGGAGTCCAGGGCTGTCAGCCCCACAGTGACTCTTTCTGTGCTGTTGAGCTGCCCCCAGAGCCTGGAGCAGGCAGCCCGCAAGCCATTCATTCCTTTGTTCTTTCATTCTTTAACTCACTGGCACAACTGCTCCGGCATGCAGCACCAGGCCTGGCACACAGACGGGGCTCAATACGTGCTTAATGAAAACATCCCTTGGCAAATTCAAAGTTCTCTTGGAGCCATGTCCTGCGCCAGGAGTGGGGTTGTGATGAAACCCTATCTCTGCTCTCAGGGCACCCTTCCAGACTCCAGAGGGCACACTGCAGGTATGTCCTGGTGGTGCAGTGAGTGATGGGGGCGAGGAGGGGAGTAGGGTGGGCTTCCTGGCAGAGGGGCAAACAGAGTTAAGCTTGGAGAGAAGGCATACTGAGCTGACAGCGTGGCCTGGGCAGAGGCGGGGAGAGTTCAGGTGCTAGAAGAGGGGGAGTGTGGGGGGAGCCCCTGGGACCAGGCAGGATACAGGGTGTGCAGAGGCAGTGGCTGGCTGAAGGAGGCAGGACAGGTGGGGCTGGAGAACAGGAGGGGAAGGCACAGAGGTGATGCCTGCCTCTCTGTAGTGAGGCTGAGATCAGCTGGCGCTGGGTGGGTGTGTGGGACACAGGCCAGTGGTACCTGGAGGCCTCGCCCCCATGAGCCACTGTGCCCAGACGCATTGCACATGTGTCTATCTGGGTGGGCGGCTCACCTGGAAGCTGCTGAGGGCCACGTAGACTTGGCTGCAGCCCTCGTAGGGGCAGTGGAACATCTCCAGCAGGCCATCGGCGTCCATCACCCGTGACCTCTTGCTCCGCCGCCTCCTAGAGGGAAAGGGGCCTGTGGCATTAGAGCTCCTGCACCAGGAGCCGCTCCTAGTCCCTGCCCCCGCCCGCCCGCCCTGGCACCCACTTCTCGGGCTCCTTGGGGATCTCGTAGATGATGGCGGACATGTCGCTGCCCTCGAGCTCCTCCCCGTCAGCCTCGGCCTCAGGCTCGGTGCTCTCAGGCACCGTTGCAGCCAGCTCGGCCATCTCAGGGGCCACCAGCTCCTCCTTCTCCTCCTTCTTGAGCACGTACAGGTCCTCCTTCTCTGCGGGGGTAGACACAGAGTGAGTGCCCGCGGGGACTAAGGCTGTTGAGGAGCTCATTCTGGGGCCACTCCTTGCCCTCCCCTTGCCAGGTCCCAATGTGCCCCCCCTTCCAGCCCCCGGACTGGCATGGCCCCCCCAGACCTTTCTTGGTCTCAATGCCTGTCATGGCAGCAGGGTCCATGGTACTGGGTGGGCCACCCTCCGGCTCTGTCTGTGTGTAGGCAGCCACGCCCTCCATCATTGCACAGGGCACCTCATCGCCCAGGCCCCCTCCGGGGGCAGTGCTGCCGGCTGCCACGTTGAGGTGGATGCCCTCGGCTGTGAGGGCATCATAGCCGGGGCCGGCGATGATGATCACCTGCGACCCGGGCACCATGCCTGGCATGGGACAGCTGGCCACCACCTCACCCAGTGCCTCCTGGGGCACGTTCTCAAAGAGGGTGCCGGGGCCCGGGCCCACTTGTACGGGCACGGGCACGCACACCACTGTCTCCAGGGCCTCCGGCCCGCTGCTGGCGGGGTTGGGGCATAGCGGAGTGCCCTGCTCGGCCAGGCTCTCCACGTGGTGGACGTCGAAGGGGATGTGCATGCCCTCCTGTGTGATGAGCCCACTGCTGCCTGCCGGGCTGGTGGGCGTGACTGCTGCCGTGGCCACTGTCGCCTTGGTTGGCTGGCCCTCTGGGGGCTCCTCGGAGTCAGAGCCAGAGCCAGAACTGGACGAGTCGGAGCTGCCGGCCACCAGGCCATTGCCCACTGTGGTGACAGAGGAGAAGGGATGGTTACCACAGTGTACCACAGCAGCAGCTGGTATCTGTTGAAGCCCCTCTGCCCCAGGGGCTGGGCACTGCGACTCCTCTGTAAGAGTGGTCAGCTCAGTCCCATGCCCTCCACTGCTGCCCCTGCATGCTGGGGTACTCCCCTGCCTCAGCCCCCAGGCCCACATTCAGGCTTCCTGGCCCCTCCCGGGGGCTCCTTCTCAGCCCTTTCTGTTCGTATGGGCCTGGCAAGCTCTCGCTGGGGCTTCTCCTCAGCTCTCCACTCACCCCAGCATATTGGCTGGGCTGGCTGTGTTAAACACCGCCCTCCTCCTGGACACCAGCCAGGTGTCCAACAATTGGATTCAGTTCTGACACCATCTGTCCGGAGACCGTGTCTGACCCCGCATGTTAAAGAGCTCAGTCCCACAAAACTGCCCCCACTTCAGATACCAGTCCCAAGTCCCGAATAACCCACACTTCCGGCTATAAAGCTGAGGTTCAGGCAGCCCTCTGCTCAGTTTCAATAATTTGCTAGAACAACTCACAAAACTCAAGAAAGTGATATGCTTCTGATTACAGTTTTATTAGAAAGGATACATCTCAGCATTTGCTGGATGGAAGAAAAACGCAGGGCAAGGTAATTGTGTGTGTGTGTGTGGGGGGGGTGGTCTGTCATGGAGCTGCCAGGCTCTCTACAGACACACTCAGCACCTCAACATGTCCACTAACCTGGAAGCTCTCAGAACCTCACTGTTTAAAAGAGTTTTAAAAATTTTATGTATTTATGCATCGGCCGCACTGCAGGGCATGCAGGGTCTTAGTTCCCTGACCAGGGATGGAACTTGCGCCCCCTGCAGTAGAAGCACAGAGTCTCAACCACTGCACTGCCAGGGAATTCCCAAAAGTTTTTATAAGGAAATGGCTACCCATTCCAGTATTCTTGCCTGGAGAATCTCATGGATGGAGAAGCCTGGCAGGCTACAGTCCATGGGGTCACAAAGAGTCGGACATGACTGAGTGAAGTTCACTTTCTCCAGCCCTCATCTGCTTCTGGGGGCTGGGGGCGGGGCTGAGAGCTGCCATGGGTGACTGGCTCCCATCCTAAAGCTATCTAGGGGCTCCTCCCTGAGTCACTTCATTGGACTGTTCCCCAGGTGTGCAGCATGCAGGATCTTAATTCCTCAACCAAGGATCAAACTCATGCCCTCTGCAGTGGGATCAGAGGCCTAACCACTAGACTGCCAGGGAATTCCCCAGCAATAAAGTATGTTTAAATTAAGGAATGTACCTTTCTTTTCCCCTGCAATGCTATCGCACACTTAACAGATCACAGTTTAGTGTAAACATAACTTTTACATGCACTGGGAAACCAAAAAGCTCATGGGTCTCACTTTAGTTCGATATTTGCTTTATCGAGGTGGTCTGGAATCCAATCTGCAATGTCGCCGAGGTCTGCCTGCATCTATTTTTATTATAGTGCCATCTCTCCCCATAGCCTGGTGCCTCCAGTGGACAGTTCTCACCTGAGCCTCCTGCGGAGGGACAGACTGTCACGCCTCACTGCGTCCTCCACTGCTCTCTCTGGTGTGGGGGGGTCTTATGGGCGTCTCAGACTCTATTTCGAATTTCCCCTTAGAGAAAGGCTCAAAGATGTCCCTATCTAAGCCAGTGGCAGCTGTGCCTGTCCGGTTGCTCAGGCCAAAGTCCTGGGGCTCTCTTTGACTTCTCCCTTTCACACCCACTTCCAATCTGTCAGCAAAACCTGTTGGCCCTGCTTCCAAAATACATCTCCAGGCAGGCAGCTTCTCCTACTCCCATCCCGGAAATCATGGGCAGAGTCCCACCAGCCCAGAACATGCACTTCTTTCTCCTGGGTGCCCCTGCTCCCATCCTTGTCCCCCAGCAAGTCTGTCTTGTCCTTAGAGGTCAGAGGGAGCCTGTGAACACCTGCTTAGGTCACCTCCCTTTCTAAGAATCTGCTCATTGCTTTCTGTGGAAAAGAGAGGCCAGCTGCTCAACAAACAACCCCCTCTCCCGCACCCGTCTCTTCCTCCTGACATCTGGTGGACTACATGTCCCAGTAGCCTTTGCTGTTAGGTGTGGCGATCCAGCTGAGTCCCAGTGGAACAAGAGTGGAAGTGAGCTGTGTCAGGTCACAGGATGTGGGGTGCATTTCTGTCAGCCTCTGGCCTTAACTCCTTTAATGCCCTTCCCAACTGACTTGACATAGCAGCCAAACTCTTTCATGGCCACACAGCCTGCAATCTGCCCCCGTCACCTCCTCTCCAGCCCCACTAACCTCCCTTCCATACCTGGGGATGCTGGGCAGGTTTCTGCCTCAGGACCTTTGCACTGGCCACTCACTCTGCCAAATCCTCTTTCTGCAGATGCCTGCGTGGGCTCCTCCCTCACCTCCATCACAACTTTCCTCAAGTGGTACTTCTTCAGGGATGCCTTGGACCACTTTGTCTCAAATTGCACCCTTTTCTCTCCTGTTTTCCCCCCAATACTTGCCACCTTCCACTGCACTCTAGGTTTTACTTGTTTATCTTGTTTACTGTCTGCTTCTCTAGACGGTAAACTCCACAAAGATGGGGCGGTGGGGTGGTCCCTGTGCACAGGGTGCCAGCTGATTGGTCCACATTGAGCTCAAGTTTGTAAGAATGAGGGAACCCAAGACCAAGGCCGTGATGAAGGCCAAAGGGGCCGGGCATCTTATCCAGGCATTTGGTACCAATATCCACACGCAGGAAGAAATTGGGGACTGGACAGATGAATGACTGTCCCTTCAGTTACTCACTCAAGACACAGCTGGGGTATACTGTCTGGGTACTACACATCACATCTACACTCCCAGAGGGTCATGTGGCGAATACAGGCTCTGGAGGGGGATCCCAGTGCCCATTCCTCCACCTATGTAAAGTGAGTGTGCCTGCTAACCTCTTTGGGCCTGGGGCTAACTTGGCACCTACCCAGGGGGTGTCTGGGGGTATTTAAATGAGTAAATAGGACAATAGGGCTTACAGTAAGCAGCTCATCAGTGTTTCCCATCATAGTTATTATAGAATAATAATATTCCCTCACCCATCCTTGACTCATCCCCAGGCAGCAGCAGGCATAGGGTGGGGGGGGATTCCCCCTCCTTTTTTTTCTTTTAAATAAATATTTATTTATTTGGCTGCACTGGGTCTTAGTTGCAGCACTCAGGATCTTGAGTTGTAGCATGTAGGAGCTAGTTCCCTGACCAGCAATCAAACCCAGGTCCCCAGCATTGGGAGCAAGGGAAGTCTTAGCTGCTGGACCACCAGGGAAGTCCCGATTGCCCCTTCTTCTAACACTCTGTAATCTTTAGGGTGAACTGAGCCCTGTGGCTCCACCCTGGAGAGGGCAAAGCTTCTTAGAGAGTTGGGGCCTGGCCAGGGCCTGTGCCTGGATCCCCAGTGACAATGTCCAGCTGTTAAGTGGACACTAGACTTCTTGCCAGTTAACAATGACATTAGTGACAGAATTGGCCGTGCACCCACCAGCATCCCTTGGTCCTGGTGGGAGGTCCGCCCTTGGCAGAGAGCTGGTAAGGGTGCTGTTGAGGGGCCAGGGCTGGCACAGGGACACAGCCACTCCCTCCCTCTCCCCCCTGGCCAGTGCTTACAGCAGACCTGGCCAATTGCTCCCAGCATTCATTCCTGAGAGCCCAGATCCAGAAGCCACTGGTGTCACAGTTGGGCTGGGCCATCAAGGGACCCTTCTGGGTACCACCCCCAACCTAGCCAGACACAGAGCCAGATGGGCCAGTCACGTGATTCCCAGGAGCCTTGGTTTCCTCAACTGCTAATGATGGGGCAGTGGGGAGGGTCCAGGGTGGTTCAGGGCAGGGCCTGGCATCAGGGGGACAAGATGGCCATGGGGCTGGCTGCTCTCTGGGAGCCTGGCTGACACATCATGGGACAGCCGTTGGCCGGGGTGCCCACCCGGAACACCTCTCGCCCACGGCTTCCCCTTGGCCAGCTGGGATGCCACCTGCTCAGAGATGCCTGCCAGCCCTGGTGGCTGACCCCACCCTCAGCTCCAGCAGGGGGCCTGGCCGTGGGCCCCAGGTTCCTTTTGATGCCAAGGCCCTGAGGCAGGTGGGCAGCCCCTCACCAACCATAACGTCTCCTCTGCTCCCCCACCAGAGCCAACAGGGCCCTCCTAATCCTGAGCAGGCTGTGTGTGTGTGTGTGTGTGTGTGTGTGTGTGTGCGATGTGGGATGGCAGGTGAAGGACTGGGGCAGTGAGAGATGAGGGGGCGGGGCCAGTGGTGGGGGAGGGATAAAGGGATGAAAAGGGGAGTGAGATGGAGGAGAGACAGTGGAGGGGAAGAGGAAAAAGGCAGGAGATGATGTGGGGGGGGGGGGCAGAGAGAGTGAGGATGAAATACAGAAAGATAAGAGGGGGAAGTGGGAACCGAGAAAGGTCAAGAGCAGAGAATGGGGCACAGGGAGAAGGCGAACAGGCTGAAGGGAGGGCAAGAGGGCGAGGTTCCTGAGAAAGAGCCGGAGGAAGTAAAGGAGAACAAAGAGGCCAGGAGAGGCCCAGCACCTGCCAGTCCCTCCAGCCGCTGAGCGGGGTTCCTGGATCCCAGCCAGCCTGCCCCTGACCTTGGGCACACTGCGCCACGCCCTGGTGGTCCCTTCGCAGAATGGACACCAGCTCTCGGGCTCTGTATGGACTCAAGGATGGTACAGTCACCCAGCACCAGGGCTGTGTTACTTGCTGTGAGGTCTGTGATGCTGGCCTGATGCTGGCAGGGCCCCAGGCCCCACAGGCCATGGTGCGCCCTCTCTGCTCCCCCAGCAGACCCACCTTTGTCACTCTCGGGGTCCGAGTCGCTGAGCGGCTTCAGCGGGGAGTGCAGGTCTTGGAAGTAGCGGTGCCCGGCTTCACACTGCCACACAGCCGTGGTATACAAGCCGAAGGTGGGGTCCAGCTCAGCCAGGTGTGGCTCATAGGGGCAGCGGTGCTTGTGGTCCTCGTACCAGATCACCACGTTCTTCAGGCAGTTCACATTGCGTCGCCGCCCTGCGCATGCAGGCCCGGGGCAGCGTGAGGGGCAGTGCTGGCCCCCCAACCCTGCCCAGCAGCAGGGCCCAGAACCATCCTTGGCCTTATGGCTCCCATAAGAGGAGGTTAAGACACCCTCCTGAGTCCTGGCTGGGCCTGTCCCCAGTACACAGATGAGGAAACTGAGGCTCAGAAATATGAGACCTGCCCTGGAGACAACAGAGGCTGGCCAGGGACAGTCCTCACTGTTGGGCTCGAGTCTCATACATGACAAAGCCTAGTGCCTGGCAGGTGCGCGGCAACTGTCAGCTGCCGGTTATAGTTAGGATTGTCCTCATCAGCTCAGCGTCTCCCGCCTGCCCAGCTCAGTCGCTGCACCCTGGTCTCCCAGCTTTCACCTCTGCCCCTACCCACCACGGCCAACAGAAGGCACCTCTGAACACTTAGGCCAAGTCACCACCCTTCTCTGCTCATAATTTACCGGGGCTCCCATCTCACCGGCGGTAAAGGCCTCCCCAAGGTTTCCCAAGCCCTGCGTGTCCTGCCCCGTCACCTCCCGCCATCACCTCCTCCCACTGCTCCCCTGATCAGTCCACTCTAGGCTCAGGGCCTCCTCCCAGATCCTCACCTGCAGAAGTATGGTCCAGCCTTAGGGCTTCTGCAAGGGCTCTGCTCTCCTCCTCCAGACACCTACCCTGCCCCTCACTCTTGGAGCTGGACTGCCTGGGCTAAAATCCCAGCTCTGCCATTTCTCAGTAAGCAACTCAGCTTCTCTGAACCTCAGATTCCCCTTCTGGGCCGGGGGAGGATAATGGTCCTTTCCTGAGGGCTGCCAGAGGCAGGGAGTGATGACATCCATAGGGCCCAGGAGAGGTAATGGTACCTAAGATTCCTGTGATGATCCTAGTCCTGCAGCTGATGGGGAGGAAGGTGTGCCCTTGACTTTCCAGGCTGGGGGATGAAGAGGGGGTCTAGGAAAGGTTCTGGGGGCTAGGGTTGGTGCTGGTGCCACCAACCCAGTGATGATCATGGGGTATCACCAGCAGCCACCTCTCCCGCCCATCACTTGCCTCCTTATCTCCTTTGGGATTGGGAGTCACGGTCTTAGCTCAGCTTCTGCGTCGGAGCATGAGAAGGGGAAGGGGAGGGGCTCACTGCCATCAGACGGATGTCCCTGGACCACAGGCCCTCACCCTGCTGGACATGGCCTAAGACCCGCTGCCCCAGGGCTGGGGGTCTTGGTCAGGGGGTTGGGACCAGGAGCTCCAGCCTCTGTTCCAACAGTCCACACCTGGCTCCCCTTGAGCCAGGCACACCACAGGCCCTGTAGGCTGGGGCAGAGACAGTTCCCTCTGCTCTGCCTGGCTCCTCCCCGGCTGACTCCCACACACCCGGCAGGAGAGCAGAGGAGCGGACGGGACCCCTTGGGAGATACATGGACCTGGGTTTGCGGTCTGGCCTGGCCACTTTCTGGCTGTGCAGCCTGGGGCAGTGACTCAGCCTTTCTGGGTCAGATGGGGGCAATGAAAGCACTGCCGCTGGGCACAACACTGGTTCAGGTTGCCTCCGACCCTTCCTGGCCCCACTCCCACCCAAGCCCCAGGCTGGGTCAGGCCCCTGCTATAGGCCTCCTGGTGCCCCTACATCCCCACTCTAGGCCTGCTTGGCCTGCCCTCACCCTCCCCATCTTTCCCATGAGACTGTGGGCTCTGGGAGGGCAGGGCTGAGTCTGCCCCATCTCACATGGTACCTGGCATGCGTGGACCCTCCATAAACCATTGGCAAAGGAGTAGGGTGGGAACCAGCCACAGAGCCACTTACTCCCATCACCACCCCCACCCGGGCTGCAGCCCACTTACTTTTCTTCCGCTTTGGCTTTTTGGGGACTTGCTCCCAAGGCTTCCTGTAACAGAGAGGGGAGGCAGTGGGGAGTGACCTTGGGGACTGATGATGGGGAGACCCTAATCCTGCTCACGTGGGGCTTCTGCTTCCTGGGCCTGGCCTGCTGCCCACGGCGACTTCACTTGGGCTCTGCTGCCCTGGCACATGGTCTACCATCATCACCCACCTCACAGAGTGGGAAACAGGCCCTCAGCGTGAGGCCGCCTGCCCAGGGTCCCCAGGCTGGGGAGAAGACTTATCAAGAGGGAGTTTATTCGGGGAGCCTGACCTAATCAGGGGAGACTTTAAAAGTGCACTGCTGGCTCAATGTTGAGGACTCTGCCTGTCGATGCAGGAGACACAGGTTCGAAACCTGGTCCAGGAAGATCCCACATGCCATGGAGCAAATAAGTCTGTGGCCACAACTACTGAGCCTGCACTCTAGAGCTCGGGAGCCACAACTACTGAGCCCATGTGCTGCAACTACTGAAGCCTGTGCACTCTGGAGTCTGTACTCTGCAACAAGAGAGGCCACTGCAGTGAGAAGCCCACACACCACAACTAGAGAGTAGTTCCCGCTCTCCACAACTAGAGAAAAACCCTTGAAGCAACCAAGACCCAGCATAGCCAAAAGTAAATGAGTAACACTAATAATAATAACAATAATAAATGCACTGCTGAAGCCAGAGACTGGAGACAGAGAGCAAGGGGCCTGTGAGGGGCCAGGACCTGAAAATGGCCCAGCAAGACTGCAGGAACCCCAGCTGTACAGCCCCGAGGAAATGGATTCTGCCAAAGCTCTGAGCAAGTTTAGAAGCAGGTCTCTCCCTGGGTGAGCCTCTAGGCAACAATGGCATATCAGGCTGATACTCTGATTTCAGCCTTGAGACTCTGAGCTGAGAATTCAGCTACAATGTGCCAGACACCTGACCTGCAGAATGTGAGATCATAAATCTGTGTACTTTTAAAGCCACTGAGTCTGTAGTCAGTTGCTACCCAATGGCACCGTCATAGACTTGACCTCAGACTGCCCCATCCAAGGTCCTGTACATTCTGCCCCTGAGGCTGAACCAGAGTCCTGAGGAGACAGTCAGGCCCTAATGGCCTGCTCGACGAGGGTCCTGCCCAAAGGCCAGGCCATCGTGTCCACCTGCCTCCAGAGCTTTCCCCCGCCCTGCCTGGGTCCCCACACTGACTGTGTGCCCCAGTGGGCCATGGCCTGGGGGAGCCCAAAGGCGGGGGAACCCCATGGTCTCCTATACCTGGATGGCCACCAGATCTGCCAAGCAGATTCCTGACCCCACGTGGGCCTCCCAGCTGCGGCCCAGCACAGGTTCTGAGATGCTTTAGAGCCATCTCTCCTGGACTGGCCAGGGCCTCCCTCCACCTTCCTGCCACCGTGCTTCAGGGTCTGCCCACCTGATTTAGACTGCTTCTCTGCTCTTCCTCATCTAAACCATAGCAGCAGGCTCTGGGACTGTGGGTGAGCAACCCTGCCTCCCCATGCCTCAGTTTGCCCATGTGTAGTGGGGCTCATAACAGTACCTTCCTTATGGGGTTGGCACGACTGACGTTATAGGCATTGTAAAGATCCTGGTAATTATTCACTCAGTAAATGGTGGTAATGGTCACATTGTTGTTTAATCGCTCAGTCGTGTCCAATTCTTTTACAACCCCATGGACTCTAGCCTGCCAGGCTCCTCTATCCATGGGATTTCCCAGGCAAGAATACTGGCGTGGGTTGCCATATCCTCCTCCAGGGGATTGAACCCAAGTCTCCTGCATTGCAGGTGGATTCTTTACCACTGAACCACCTGGGAAGGCCAATGATGACCATTATGATTCTCAATATTGTCACAGAGCCAGGACCTGGGACACGTCTCCTTACTGTGGCTAGGACCACCCTCTTGCCACAAATATCCTGACAGCCGGTCTAGGGTCTCTCTTCAGCTCCAATGCCCACCCTCTCCGACCCTTGTCCAGCCTGATGACAGGTCTCAGCTCCCATACTCCACGTCTGGTCCCAGGACAGCTCCTCTGGGCTCCTCTATCTCTCCTGCCCAGGCTCTGCCCAGGAATCCGTGCCCCAGTGTCCCATCCCAGGAGCCTCTATGCCCTCCCATGGCCCTACCTCCCCTCCAAGGGGCCAGATTGGTTGCCTCAATTCTCACCCAAACCCAAATCTAAACACCCATGACCACTTCCACCCATTCATAGCCTCACCATGGCTGGGGTGCGGGGAACTTCACTTCGTGGTGGAGACAGGCTTGGTGTCACTCAGACCGGAGTTCAAGTCTCATCTTTGCTACTGACTGCCTATGTAATCTCAAGCAGGTTTTGTCCCCTTTGGACCTCAGTTTTCTTATCTGTGAAGTGGGGATAACTGCAGTGCCTCCCACACAGAATTGCCATGCAGGTTAAAGGAAGAAATATCCCTGAGTGTATTTTCTGGAATACTCATGTGTTGTGCCCCAAGGTCAGGTTTTGTCACACCACACACAGCCTGGGGTGTCTCAGTGCCCTGCCCCAGTCCTGCAGGCCCACACAGCTCCAGCTCAGTCAGACAAGCTTCTGTAAACACCACTTTCAGCTTAGGAACCTCCAGGGGCTCCCTCTGGCCAGTGGTTCTCAACTCCAGCTACACAGCTTCAGCTCTTCAGAAAAAAATATAGGATCTGCACCTCTACCCAGACTAACTGAATCAGAAACTCCAACAGTTGCCACACTGGCCTGAAGTTGTATAAGCTCCTGGCATTTCCTGCCCTGCTCTTTCATGGGCATATAAGCCAGTCTGCTACCCTGGGGAGGGAGTGAGTATAATTCAGCAGGTTCTGGTTGATTCCTGATCTGCAGAATCTCCTCTGAGAGAAACGTGTGAATGTATACAAGTGAAAACCAGGGCAGATCAGGGTTTTGTTGCAGCATTGCTTGCGATAGGAAATAAACATTGTAACAGCTAATATCCAGACAGCTCACTAAGTGCTGGGCACTGTTCTAAGCATTTGGGTGTAATTTAACTCATTTAATCATCACATCAACCTATAAGGCAGAAAGAGAAGAATTCCTTCCTTAAAGGTCATTTTTAACACCAAGGTTCCGTAAAGACCTCAGCCCTCCACCCGAACAGCTAACTTGGGGTTTCCTCTTCACCCGAGTCTCCCCGGGCAGAGGTGCTCCCCAAGAGCCAAGAGGTTGAGGGATTGTAAGGGGTCCTCTTGGAGTGTGCGGCCTTGGTTTCTGGGAGTGGGCCCCATGCAATGCCAGGTGGGTCACTGGAACCTCAGGACGGGTAGGGCTGGAAGGCCTGGGATGTTCAGTCACAGCCACAGGTTACACTGTGGAGGTTTAAGGGGATGAGGCCTTTGAGGTTTCTGGGGCCAGTGGGGACCTCGGAACCGTGAGGCTTCAGGGAGGCGGGGCCGCCCCTTCAGAGACCGGGCCGTTAGAATGCTTGGAGGTGGGTCCCATACCAGGATTGGGCAGCCAGAGCCCTAGGGGGCGGGGCCAAGGGCCCAGGAGGCGGTCGAGAGGCTGGACGCATCCTAGGATTGGGCAGTAAGAGAGACGGGAGGCGGGGCCGCGAGCCAGGCGCGTCCCAGGACCTGCAGTCGGAGACCCAGGCCGGCCGCCGGGGAGCCGGGCGGAGCTCACAGGTGCCAGGGGCGGGGCCTGGGGGCAAATGGGGCGGGGCCAGGCTCAGCGGGGATGGGGGCGTCTCCTCCCTCACTCCCTCCCACCCTCAGGCCGGGCCCCCTCACCCGTGGCGGCCGCTACGCTGGCCGCGCTCCAGCGAGATGAGGTAGGCGGCGAGCTTGGCGTCGCTCCAGCCGCTGCGGCGCCGCAGGTCCACCCAGGGCCCGTGCGCCTCGCCCAGGTACACGCGCCTCACGTCGTACTTCTTCCGGGACTCGAGCCGCCGCCGGGCCCGGTCCGATTCCGTGAGCCGCGGCCGGCCCCGTGCCTTGCGGCCCGCCGCGCCCTCCTCGGCGGCCGCCTCCCCGCCTGCTCCCGCCTCAGCCTCCGCCTCCGCCTCGGGCTCCGGCGCCCGCTCCGCCATCCCCCCCTCCCTGGTTACCAGCCTCCCCCGTTGTTAGGAGCCCGGCCGGAAGTGGCGCGCATGTTCCGCGCCGGCGGGAAACTTCTGATGGACTCTCACTGCCCCTCGGCGTCAAAAGGAGACCGAGAGCAGAAGCTGCGCATGCGCACAACAAACGCTTGCAACAACTCCCTCTTCTTAATCCCTTCTGTTAAACTTTTTAGTAAACAGAGGCGGAAGGGGTAGTTGAAGGTATGAGGCTGACTGGGGAGGAAACAGCGAAGAGAACCCGTAGACCCTCGGGGGGTAGGGGATTCTTCCTCTGTACCGTTATCCTGAATGCACTGCGGGGATGACAAGGTAGCTGTCAGTTCGGGAAAGCCCTTGAAAAGGCATGACATCAAGCATTAAAGGGGCAGGGACACCACACTGCCAGAGAGGAGGCAAGGCAGCCCCAAGCAGGAAGACTTTTATTTGCTGTACACGCAAAGGTCATCTCGTGCTTTCACCAGTCCATGGACTATGCTCTCGTGACCACGCAGGGTCAGCTCTGGCCCTGCTGTTGTCGCTGCTGACTGTCTTCTTCTTCTTCCTGGCCCTCGGGTGGGGGTGGGGGTGGCTCCTCCAGCTCTGAGGAGGATGCCAGGAGCTCCCCGGAGGACCCGGACAGGCGGAAGACCACCGGGATCCGGGCCAGGGCTGGGTTGGTCTCCTGAAGGCCCTGGATCCACTTGGCCAGCGTGGCCTGGTCATGGGCACCCGCCACGCATATGGCAAAGACAGGCCCTTCCTCCACTGTTGGGAGAGATAGGCCCTCAGTTTGTGCAGTGGGGACTGGCCCTCAGTTTATTCAGCCCCCTCATGCCCACACTCTTTAAGCTCCTTTTGCCTTTTGTGTATGTCCAAGCCTTTGCACACACAATCCCCTCCACCTAGCCTGCCCATTCCACGCTTCACCTGGGTGATGCCTCTTGATTCTTCAGGGTTCCACTGGAAATCCTCCTGATTCCCACCAGAGACTGAGTTGTGTACCTCCTCCCAGGGACCCCAAGAATGTAACATGTCTGTTCCACCACTGACCTGAGGGGAGGGACTGGACCTGTCCTGGTCATGCCCAGAAGCCAGCACAGGGATGTTCCACAGATGTTTGAAGGAGGAAGTGACAGAGGGCTGATAGGTCTAGAGCCCCCTGAGTGGGAGTTTCATGCTTTTGTGTGTGTGTGTACCTGGGCCTCTGCTGGGTCTGCGGGGGTGAGTGTAACTGGACTAGGTCTTGGCCTGGCTCTCAGCCCTCCACTCCAGAGGCGGCACCCCATCCCGTGCAGTGTTCAGAATCCGACCTGTCCCGGTTTTTACCTTCATCAATGTCAAACTCGTAGTCATCCCAGCCGCTCCTCCCGTAGGCCAGGTCTAGCTGCATCGGGTAGTAGAGGTTCCACTCCTCTGGAATCTCCTCCACTTCCTGCCCCACGGAGGCGGTGCAGGCAGTCAGAGGCCCCGGGTCTTGAAGCTACCTGTGGCCTCTTCCCTGGTCCTTGACCTCCCTTCCCCCAATCCCCTCGTCCCCCTCCACACCTCTGAGCCAACTCACTCTTCCCACTGCCCTGACTTCCACTTTGGGCCCTCACCCGTTCCTCAGGGGGCAGCAAGTCAGCTCTGAGGATATGGTAGTAGACACATTTGTCTCGAAGCCACAGGGAGAAGGGGCCCTCAACGAAGATTGGGCGGGCTGGGTCATGGCGGGCCAGGGCGCTCTGCTGCTCAGGACTCTGGATCCCTGGTGTGGAGACACACACACATGGGGTGGGGGTGGGGGGTAGTTCTGGCTCAGGGGCTGTGCCCCAAGGCCCATAGAGCCCTCCCAGCAGGCTCAGTGAGAATGCAGCAACCCCTCCCTCCATGGGGCCTTACCTACGATATGGGTCTCTGTAGGATCCATTGTGTCAGGGGAGTCTTTCGGCAAAGGCATCTGTAAGGAAAGCAGGGGTGGACACTTGTGGCCCCCACAGCCCCTACGGGGGGGGGGGGGGGCGGGGGAGAGAGAAATGGGGAAGGGGGATTCTAGTGAATTTTCAGGGCCCCTCTGAGGCCTAAATACTGGGCCTCCCACACATCAGTCAAGACCACCACCTTCTTGCTTCTCTCAGATTGAGCCAAAGCCACTGACCCTGGGGATGCTCATGAGGAGGGAACCCTGGAGCCAGCCCACCCGTGTGAAAATCCTGCCTCTGCCACTGTCTGCGTGACCTTGGATGCATCACTGAGAAGGGAGCTGCCATAGACCCCTCAAGGAAGAGGAAGGCCATGCCTGGAATACAGTGAGTGTGGGGAGGTGGGGTAGGAGTAGAGGTCCAGCTGGGCCAAGGGCCCTGGAATCTAGATAAGGCTCCACCAGGGAATCAGGGCCTGTTTTCCAGAATCACTTCAGTTCCTGAAGGGGGCCTGGCCCTGGGAAGGTGGACGAAAGTATGGCCAGGGGTGACTACCTGGTAGGTGGTGACCCTGGCGCTGAGATCAGGCTCCATGTGCCGCAGGGCCAAACTGGCCAGGTCTACAGGGTCCTGGGGCAGGTCCCGGGGCACGGGGAAAGGGTTGATATTCTTGAAGCGGGTGAACCACAGCTTCATGCGCACCAGCTTGAGCATGGGATAGCTTTTGCGGCCAAATATCTGCATGAGCAGGAACTCCGTCTCGTTGTTGGGCATCACCCCTGTGCCAGGCAGATGCAGGCAGAGCCTCAGGGAGGGAGAAGAAGAGGGAAGGGATGACAGGACAGAGAGAGATGACAGAGATGGAGGGTGGGTGGGCAGAGGTGGACTCCAGATTGAGAGGCAGAGAGGAGAGGTCAGAGCCGAGGAACCATGGAGTGGGTAGAGGGCAGAGACATGGGAGAGGGAGGCAGCCCCTGGCCCCACTCCAGCCTGCGGGCCTCACCGTGGTTCTCCATCTGCTCCAGGACTGCAATCCCGCACTCCTGCTGCCGTGGGTAGTGGAGGAAGATGCTGTGGAAGATGTTGCGAGGCCGGAAGACCTCTTTGGGGAAGACATCAAGGAGCAGGTTGTAGACAGACAGGTCCCTCTCGACACCGTACTCTCGCATCTTGCGCAGGGCCAGGTAGATGAAGTCCACGTGGCCGCGCTTGTGCACGTTGTACTGGGCGAAGTTCTGCACTGCCCGCACGAAGTTCGCCTTGTCTCGTGTTCCATCCAGCGCCGGCCTAAACAGCTCCTCGTGGACTGCCAGGGCCTTGACGGGCTGCCTGGGGGGCTCAGGTGGCCGTGGGACCAGCGACGAGTCAGGGTTGTGGGCAGCTGCACTGCAGCGGAGGCCCCGTGGGGCCTGGGGTGGCACCTGCGGACGGGGAACCACCGCTGGAACCTGGCGCCTCCTGGTGCCCTGCCCAGCCAACTCTTTGCTGGGAAAGGTGCCAGCGGGCATCCCTAATGGCCTCCAAAGAACTGTGGTGCCCTGGTTACAGACCCATGACCAGGCGCCATCACAAAGTTATCAGTTACCATAGCCAGACCGCTATGGTAACATCCCAGTGGAGGCAGTGTTCACCACGGAGATGAACAAACACCCTCTGACACAGCAATCTTGCATCTGGTATTTAAATACGACCGCTCTAAACATATCTGCCTCAGATGACATTTGTGCATCGGCGGCATCAGTAGAAATGGACCAAATATGCACCAGCAAGGAAAAAATTAAGTAAGTGGCTATGTGCCTGGACAAGGAGCACCCACCGCTGTAAGACACATGGAGGAAGTGTCCTGTGACCAGGAGTGAGCTCCAAAGTATAACATTAAATGAAAAAAAGGAAAGTGTGAAACAGTGTGTACAGTAGCATCCCATTTGTGTTAAAAAACAAAAGCTGATATATATATTTGGTCCTCACTATTTGCAGATTCCATGTTTGAGAATTTGCCTACTTGCTAAAATTCATTTGTAATTTGTAATTCAAAAGCTAATGCTCAAGGCGTTTTCTGGCCATTTGCAGACACATGTAGTTGAGTTGCCCACCACCTATATTCCCAGCTAAAGTGGAACAAGAGGAGTCTTTGCCTTCTTGTCTCAGCTCCCTTGTGGTCAACAAGTGTCCCTTTACTTTTTTTCGGTTGTGCTGTATGGCTTGAGGGAACTAATTGCCCAACCAGGGATAGAACCTGGGCCCTGGCAGTAGGTGAGTCCTAATCATTGGACCTCCAGGGAAGTCCCTTATGGAACAGTCTTCTGTTCCAGGCATTGTGGAGCACTTCTGAGAGTGAGGCTCATTTAATCTTTCCAACTGTCCATCAAAGGAGTGCCTCTTCGTGTATCCACTTTACAGAAGAGGAAGCTGAAGCCCAAGGAGATGACACAAGATGCCTGGTGTCATGAAGCTGCACAGCAGAAGAGCTGAGACTGGAGCCCTCAGTCCTACTGCAGCCAGTAACCACCCCATATCCTGCTTAGGTGGGATTAAAAAAAGCACTCAGCTAAAGTGAAAGTGTAGGCCCTGCTACAGGTGATATAAGCATAGAGCAAGAAGCAGAAAAGCAAATTCTAGAATGCCCCAAAGAACGGGAAGACACTACAAATGAGATGATGCAAATGAAAAGCTTAACTCAGGGTCTGGGCCACCAGAAGTGTTCAATAAGGGAGCTATTAATACTGTCACCATCATCTTCATCTTTGTTATAATTTATGGTCATCATCACTTAGGGTAAGGGAAGGAAATTCGATTTTCTGCTCACATCTTTACAAGTAAACGCAGGAGCTAACCAGAGTCACCACCCAACCCACTTACCTCAGACCTTCTTAGTTTTAAATTCAAGACCTTCACCCATGGGGACACCAACACTTTTTTAAAAAAAATATGTATTGATTTATTTGGCTGCGTCAGGTCTTAGTTGAAGCATGCGGGATCTTTCGTTGTGGCCCATTAACTCTCTAGTGGCATGCCAGCTTAGTTGCCTTGGGGCATGTGGAATCTTCCCAGACCAAGAATGGAACCCACATCCCCTGCATTGTAAGGCAGATTCTTCACCACTGGACCAGCAGGGAAGTTCACCAACACTTCTTAAAATGAGTGAGAGACATGGGAGCTCCCTGGTGGAATAGTGGTTAGGATTCAGCACTGTCACTGCCGGGGACAGGGAACTGAGATCCTGCAAGCCATGTCGTACAGCCAAAAAAAAAAGAAAAAAGAGTAAGAGGGGCTTCCTGGATAGCTCAGTAGGTAAAGAATCCATCTGCAATGCAGGAGACCCCAGTTTGTTCCCTGGGTCAGGAAGATCCCTTGGAGAAGGCAGAGGCTAGCCACTCCAGTATTCTTGGGCATCCCTGGTGGCTCAGAGGGTAAAGAATCTGCTTGCAATGCAGGAGACCCAGGTTTGATCCCTGGGTTGGGAAGATCCCCTGGAGGAGGGCATGGCAACCCACTCTAGTATTCTTGCCTGAAGAGTCCCATGGACAGAGGAGCCTGGCAGGCTACAGCCCGTGGGGTCCCAAAGAATCAGGTACAGCTGAGTGACTAAGCACAATGAGTAAGAGACATTCAACTAGCACCCAGGGCAGACAGACCAGCCAGACCTGGCCCCACAAACTCCCCTCCTTCTCCCCTCTCCCCTCCGCTCTTCAAGCTGGCTTCACTGGGTGAACAGTGAGGGCTTGGGAGCAGATCCCAGGCCTGCCTGTCTCTTCCTCCTCCCGCCCCCCCAAGACTAGCGGGTACCTGAGAGAAGGGGGCTCCTGTAAGGGCAGTGCTGCAGATGCCCCCCCAGCCCCGAGAGAGGCCCCGGGCCAGCAGGATGGCTTGGGCCCAGCTCATGCCTTTGCCTGTCGGACAACCACCTGGCAAGAGAAAAGAGACAGCATCAGTCTGGCAGCCCACCCGCTGAAGGCGATGAGACCTCTCTCCTGGGCAGAGGCCATGTCCCTGAGAGCATGGCTAACGCACTGGCTCCACTGGTCTCTTCATCGACAAAGTGGAGCAGGAGTGATGATTACAATTGGGGTCCCTGTTCTTCTGGACCAGATCCCTTACTGTCTGGTGGAATTTGCTTCTGCATTGGTTCCCCTCCCTGCCAGATCATTCTGTTTTATTTAATACCTTTATTTGCATGCCATAGAGTTGACCCTTAGTATAAAACTGAATGTGGTTTCAGTAGCTGACCCTTGAACAACACTGGGTTGAACTGCATGGGTCCACTTATAGGCTGACATCTTTCTTTCTTTTTCATATTTATTTTTGTGGGACTCCCCTGGCAGTCCAGTGGTTAAGATTTCACCTTCCAATTCTGAGGGTGCAGGTTTGATCCCTAGTTGGGGAGCTAACATACCACATGCCCAAGATTCCAGGTGCCTCATGGGCAAAAAGCCAAAAACATAAAAATAGAAATATACCATAACAAATTCAATAAAGACTTTTATATATATATAGGCTGTGCTGAATCTTAGCTGTGGCACACAGGATCTAGTTCCCCAACCAGGGACTGAATCTGGGCCCCCTGCTTTGGGAGCACAGTCTTACCCACTGGATCACCAGGGATGTCCCTGATTTTTTTTCAATATATACATACTACAGTATATAGCATGACCTGTGGTTGGTTCAATCTAAGGATGTGGAACCATGGTTACGAAGGGCCAATTGTAAAATTACATTTGGATTTTACCTTGTGCAGAGGGTTGGCCCCCCTAACCACTACATTGTTCGAGGGTCGATTGTATATTCACAGAATTGTGCAGCCATCACTAAATCTATTTTTCGAACATGCTTGTCACTCCCGTTCCCACCCCCCCCAAAAAGAATCCTATATCCATTAGCAGTCATTCACTCAACCCTAGGCAACCCCTAATCTACTGTGTCCTCTGGGAATTTCATGGAGCTTCCCTTGTAACCTAAATGTAAAGAATCTGCCTGAAATGCAGGAGGCCTGGGTTCAATTTCTGGGTCAGGAAGACCCCCTGGAGAAGGTAATGGCTACCCACTCCAGTATTCTTGCCTGGAGAATTTCATATTATTGGAATCATATATAATATGTGCTCTTTTGTGACTGTTCTTTCACTTAACATGTTTTCAAGGTTTATTCATATTGTAACATCTAACAGACTTCCTTTCAACTGCCAAAAAAAAAAAATGTTCACGATATGGATTTAACCACATTTTATTTACCCATTCATCAACCAAGGAACATTTGGGCTTCTTCCCACTTTTTGACTATTATGACTGCTGCTGCTATGAACACTTGTGTAGTTTTCGTGTGAACACATATTTACACTTCTCTTGGGTATATACTTAGAATCAAGTTGCCGGGACATATGGTAACTCTATGTTTAATCATTTGAGGGACTGCCAAAGTGTCTTCCAAAGCGACTGCACCACTTTACATCCCCACCAGCAGTGTATCCCAACCAGCAATGTATAAGGGTTCCAGTTTCTCTGCCTTCTTGCCAATACTTGTTGCCGTCGGCCTTTTTGATTATAGACATCATCCTAGTGGGTGTGAAGTAGCATCTCATTGTGGTTTTGATTTGCATTTCCCTAAAAACTAGTAGGAGAAGGCAATGGCACCCCACTCCGGTACTCTTGCCTGGAAAACCCCATGGACGGAGGAGCCTGGTAGGCTGCAGTCCATGGGGTCGCTAGAAATTGGACACGACTGAGCGACTTCACTTTCACGCATTGGTGAAGGAAATGGCAACCCACTCCAGTGTTCTTTTTTTTTTTTTCACTCCAGTGTTCTTGCCTGGAGAATCTCAGGGACGGCGGAGTCTTGTGGGCTGCCTTCTATGGGATCGCACAGAGTTGGACACGACTGAAGCGACTTAGCAGCAGCAAAAACTAGTAATGGTTGAGCATCTTTTCATGGGCTTACTATCCATTCTGTATCTTTTTCAGAGAAATGTCTATTTAGATTCTTTCTCCATTTGAAAATTAGGCTATTTATCTTTTTTTTTTTTTTTTTACTATTGAGTGGTTTTATTGACTTGTTCATATTCTGGATCAGTTCAGTTCAGTCACTCAGACCTTTATGGTTCACAACTACTTTTTCCTGTTCTTTGAGTTGTCTTTTCACTTTCACGTTATTACTTGCAGCACAATTTGTTGTTGTTTAAATAAGAGGTTTAGAACAGGAAAGGCTCTTAGGAAATGTTTTTTGAGTGTTAGTTGATATTACTATTGTGCCTGTGTGTGTGTGCTCATTCATGTCTGACTCTTTGCAACTTCATAGACTATAGCCCATCAGGTTCCACTGTTCATGGGATTTCCCAGGCAAGAATACTGAAGTGGGTTGCCCTTTCCTTCTCCAGCAGCACACGGTTTTAATTCCAACAAAGTCCAGTCTTCTGTTTTTCTTTTATAGCCGTGCTTTTGATGTTGTATCCAAAAAAAACCATTGCCTGGTTCAAGGTCATGAAGATTTACTCCGATGTTTTCTTCTAGGAGTTTTAGTTCTTACATTTAAATCTTTGATCCACTTTGAATTAATTTTTCTAAATGGTTGGTATGAGGAAGGGGTTCACTTCATATGGATATCCAGTTGTCCTAATACTATTTGTTGAAGAGACTATTTTTTTCTCCCTGTTACTCTTGTTGAAAATCAACTGACCATAAATGTAAGGGTTTACTTCTGGCTCTCAGTTCTGTCCTATTGATCAGTATGTTGAGCAGTACCACACTGTTGTGATTATTGTAGCTTTGTAAGTTATGAAATTGGGAAGTGTTAAGTCCTAAAACTTTGTTCTTCTTTTACAGTATTATTTGGCTATTCTGCATCCTTCATTGTCACATATAAATTTAAGAATCAGCAGTCAATTTCTGGGAGAAAAAAAAAAGTTCAGATTCTGATAGGGATTGTGTTGAATCTGTAGATCAATTTGGGAAATAAAGAGTTGGACACAACTGAATGACTGAACTGACTGAATAATATTAAGGTTTCTGATCCATGAACATGGGATACCTTTCCATTTATTTGTTGTTGTTGGTTTAGTCGCTAAGTTGTGATCGACTCTTCTGAGACCCCATAGACTATAGTCTGCCAGGCTCCTCTGACCATGGGATTTTCCAGGCAAGAATACCGGAGTGGGTTTCCTTCGACAGAGGCTTTTCCTGACCCAGAGATGGAACCTGCATCTCTTGCATTGGCAGGCGGATTCTTTACCATTGAGCCACCAGGGAAGCCCTCCGTTTATTTAGATCTTCTTTAATTTCTCTCAAAAATGTTTTACAGTTTCCAGTGTAGAAGCCCTTTACTTCTTTTGTTAAGTTTATTTGTATCTTATTCTTTATGAAGCTATTGTGAAATTTCATTTACACATTGTTCATTGCTAGTGTATAGAAACACAGTTTATTTTTTATATGTTGATCCTGTATCTTGCAACCTTGCTGAACTTGCATTAATCCTAATATATGTGTATATATATATATATATATTTTTTTTTTTTTTTTTTAATTGGATTCCCTAGGATTTTCTACATCCAAGATCATGTTATCTGGAAAGAGAGATAGCTTTATATCTTCTTTTCTAATCTGGATACATTTTATTTCTCTTTTTTGCCCAGGTGTCCTGGCTGAACCTCGAGTGCAAAGGTGAATAGAAGTGGCCAGAGTGCACGTCCTTGTCTTGTTCCTGGTGTTAGGGGGAAAGCATCCAGTCTTTCGTCATTAACTATGATGTCAGCCATTGGATTGTCCACCGATGACTTACTGGGTTGAGGACATTCCTTTCTATTACTAGACGCTGAGTATTTTTATCAGAAAGGGCATTCATTATATTTTGTCAAATGATTTTGCAATTATTGAACTCATGTGAATTTTGTCCTTTAGTCTATTAATATCATGTATTACATTAATTTTCAACTGTTAAATTCATATTGCATTTCTCTGATAAATTCCACTTGGTCATGCTGTTTAATTCTTTTTATTTGCTGCTAGATTGGGATGCAAGTATTTTGTTGAGGACTTTTGCATTCATATTCATAAGAGAACCTGGGCTAGAGTTTTCATTTCATGTTGTATCTGTTTGCTTTGGTATCAGGGTGATGTTGGTCTCATAAAATGAGCTGGAAAGTATTTGGCTCACTCTTACCACCATTTAAACTTTCTCTAGCATCTCTTTCCGCCTCTGCTCCACATCTCTGTTCCATTTATAGCACAGCTTCTCTCAAGAGGTGTCTGCATATTATACTCCTTTCTCACTCTTTCTTACTTGGCTGCTGCCCCAGCCACTCCAGTGACACCACTCCTGTAAAGACCGCTTGTGTGTTCTCCATTAACAAAGCCAGTGATTATTTCTTTGGCCTCATTTTGCTCAATTTCTCAGAAGTATCTCGCATGGGTGAGGCCCTCCTCCCATGCTGACACTCTTGATTTTCTTCCTAGCACCCAGGCCTGTTTTTTAGCCAGTCAGCAAGCCCTGCTTCCTTCTCTAAAGTCTGCAATGTTTGCAAACTTGAATGTGCAGATGAATCACTGAGGATCTTATTAAAATGCAGATCCTGATTCAGCAGGTCCAGTGGAGCCAGAAACTGTACATCTAACAAACATCCAAGTGATGCTGATTGCTGCTGGTCTGGAGACCAAATTTTGAGTAATAAGGCTGCAAAGAATCCCACATTCTGAATTTGTCTGCTACCCTAAGACATCATTCAACTACCAAAAGAGGTGTTCTTCTCCTCTCTGTATTCCTGTAGGCAGCTCTAATGGTTTTTTTAACTGTGTTCATATTAGAATTATCTTGGGAGCTTTAAAAAATTCCCATGCCCAGGTCATACCCCAGATACACTGAATCAAAATATACAGAGGTAGGGCCCAGGTATTAACATTCTAAATCACCCCAATGATTCTAACGTGCACCTGAGATTAAGACCTTATTCTAAACCCTTGCTATTCAAAGAGTATCTATGGGACCAGCTGCATTTGTATCATCATCTGGGAGCTTATGAGAAATGCCAAATCTCAACCTTAATCCAGACCTACTGAATCAGAATCTGCATTGTAACAAAACTCCAGGTTTCTCCTATGTGTGTTAAGGTCTGAGAAATGATGATCAACGTGCTGATTCTCCTAAATGTTTATCACCAGTCCTGAACCCAAGTCTCCTGACCTAAATGCCACTTTGGTATTTTCCCCAGCCATCTCAAACTTATTTTGCTCCAAAACATATCCCTGCTTAAACGTGTGCCTCCTCATCTTAGCCAATGACATCACTGCTGCTAGTCATTCAGATCACAAACCTGGGAATTCTGAGTCCACTGTGTCCCTCACTCCCCCAGTCCAATTCATCATCTACTTCTGTTGCTTCCAAATCCATCTTAAATGCATCCATTTCTCTGCAGGCCACCACTCCAGTCCATGATCTCTTTTCACCTATCTAGTCTCAACTTCTTTCCTTACCTGCCACCAGTGGTCTCCCTGCAGTGGTCAGAGGGAGCTTTTTAAAATGTAAAGTAAATTTAGTGTTCTCTGCCTAAAATCACTGAAACAGCACACAAAATTAAATCAGATAGAATCTGCCTCTCAAAACTCACCTTTTATTACTGGCAGCTCCAGCTACATTTGCTTCTTAAACAAGTTGGCTTTATTCTAATCTCAGAGCCTTTGAACTTGCTTTTCTCTCTGTTCAGAAATTTATTGCCCCAGATTAGTCTCTGGTCATTCAGGTCTGTAGTCAAATAAGAAGCCTTTCCTGATCACCAACCAGCTCCCAATCTAAAGTCCCATTACCCTGATGAAAGCATTTTAAGCAGTTATTAGCATCTGAAATCATGTTTCACTTATTTCTGATTTGTTCAATGTCTGGCTCCCTGGGGAGAGAGAGAGAGAGTGTGTGTGTGTGTGTGTGTGTGTATGTGTGTGAAATCACGTCTGGCTCCCTGGGGAGAATGTGTATATATGTGTGTGTGTGTGTGTGTGTGAAATCACATGTTTCACTTATTTCTGATGTGTGTGTGTGTGAAATCACATGTTTCACTTATTTCTGATTTGTTCAGTGTCTGGTTGGCTCCCTGGTGAGATTGTGTGTGGGGATGTGTGTGTGTGCGCGCGCGTGCGCGCGCACCTTACTGCTGTGTCTCCAGTGTGTATGTGTGTGTCTGCCTTATTGCCCTGCCTCCAGCACCCGGGACAGTGCCTGGTATAATGTAGGTACCCAACAAGTATATCAGTTTAATCGGGAAGAGCTAAATTTCTACCAAACTTCTAAAAATCAGAACCCCTAAGCAGGATATACCTACAGCAGCTCTGAGGCTGGCTGCTAGGATTTTGACTCCTTTGGGTGACAGCGACAGACCCGGGGTCGAATTCCAGCCTAGAGGCCGACTTGCAGCGTGACAGTGATAGAAGGCTCTAATCTCTCTGAGCCTCAGCTGTCTCATCTGCAAAACTGGAGATTAGGGACGTGGAGAGGTAGGTAAGCAGAGTGCGGCTTTTGCCGGCACATCTCGGCCCGGTACGCCGAAAGGTCATGGTGCCCTGGCCCGGAAACCGGGGTCCTCCGAGGCCTCCCTCCCGCACTGCCAGCCCAGAACGGACCTCCCCGGTGCCCAGAAGTTCGCGCTAGCCTCCCCACGCGCGACCTACCTACTCACGCGGCTGGCCGCGGAATCCCTGCCCGTTCTGTCTTGCCGCTGGGCGCCGCCATGTTGCCCAGAGATGTTCCGGGTCACGGGCCGCCAGGGAGACAGCAAATCAAGACCGCCGGTTTAGAGAGGTCCCGCCCCAAAGGGAGAAACGCCAATAGAAAGGTTGAAAGTCCTTGGTCCCGCCTCGTAAGGAGGGAAACGCCACCTTTAACTAGGCCAACAGTACAGGGGATTTATGAGTTTGCTTCGGGAAGGAGTGACTGAGCAATGCGAAGCTGGACTTGGGGAGTGACGGGAGGGGTGGGGGAGTAAGGGGCGGAGGTGTGTGTTTGTGAATACAACTGGGCGGCCCCAGTTTTCCCACCTGAAATGTGGGAATGAAATATTAAAGATGGAAGTGATGTGGATTCCTTCACTTGTTCAACAAATGTTTGAGCCAGACGCTGAGTTTTCAACATTATCATTAGAGACGGAGATGTGCTTGTGCATGCTAAGTCGCTTCAGTTGTGTCCCACTCTTTGTGAACCCTATGGATTGCAGCCCACCAGGCTCTTCTGTCCGTGGGATTTCCCAGGCAAGAATACTGGAGGGGGTTACCACTTCCTTCTCCCAGGGATCTTCCCGACCCAAGTATCAAACCCGTGTGTCTTACGTCTAACCTGCATTGGCAGCCAGGTTCTTTACCACTAGCGCCACTCGGGAAGCTCAAGTGGAGACAGGCTGTTAATCTAGTTTCGTGGGTCTGGGCTAGTGCTTACTCCATCTGTGCCTTGATTGTCTCACTCCTGAAACGGGCCAATTATAATAACCTTATAGAGTTGTTTGTTTGAGACTTAATTGAGTTTATCTATGCAAACAGCGATATAAGAGTATGCGGGGTTTTTTGGGGTATTAAAAAATTTGTTTTGCTGCACCATGCTGGTGTGTGGATCTTAGTTCCCCTACCAGGGATCAAACCCATGCCCCCTGCAGTGGAAGCTCGGACCTCCAGTCCTAACCACTGGAGCACCAGAGGATTCCCCATGCTGTTGTTACTACAGGAGACTCACCTTAACATGGGGCTTTCCAGATGGCTCAGTGCTAAAGAATCTGCCTGCCTACACATGAGATAACGGGTTCCATCCCTGGGTCGGGAAGATCTCCTGGAGGAAGAAATGGCAATCCACTTCAGTATTCTTGCTGGGGAAATCCCATGGACAGAAGAGTCTGGGGGGCTACAGTCTATGAGGTTGCAAAGAGTCAGAAATGATTGAGCACGTGTGCACATGTACACACACACACACACACACACACACACACACACTGGGTACAAGGGGCAACTGCAAAGGCCCCTTGTGACTGGCTGGAATGAACAGGGGCATATAAGGAGGTCAGAGTGGTGTGAGGGGCTCCTGGGCTGCCCCCAGAAAGCCCTGGTTTTAGGCTGTTAATAACCCTAATAGATTAGCACAAAATAAGGGGGGTTGGCAGTAGCAGAGGCTTCCGGACAAGACAGTTCTCCGCTCCCATAAAGCCACTTTTGCAAGTCCTTGGCCTCCATGAATCAGGGCGCAGACAGGGGGATGCCTCAGTGAGGCATGCCTCAGTGACTCTGCGCAGCCGCAGAACATCCGTCTCGCCAACATTCCTGTGATTGGCCAACCTAAGAGGGGCTACAGCCAATCAACTGCCGGTCCAGGAGGGCCAGCGCACCACCCGCCCCAGCACGTTGACAGCCACGTGGGAAGCCGCTGGGCGTACTACTGCCCTCTGCTGGGCATGCCAAGCCCTGAGTAGATGGAGTTCCCTCTGCTCAGCTGGGCTGTGGGTGAAGAAGGCTCGAGTGGGCGGGTGGTGGTGGGGTCATCAATGTGGTCACAGCCTTAACTGCACTCTGTGTTTCTCTTCCTCCTGAGGCAGATGCAGCTCTCCTTATTTATCCTTCCAGAAGTAGTTGATTCAAACACAGGCATTTATACATATATTTTGTTATTTTTTAAAAACACAGAGCACAATAATATGTGTGAAGTCCTTATGTAGACCCTTAAACATGCAGTTCTCAAAATAACTGGAAGAAAATAGCAGCTTAGAAGTGGAGGATCCTGGCAGGCATCACTTTAACCAAGGGACCAACATTAACACCACCAGCAATGAGTCATAGTGACATCATTAGCCCTTGGTATGGGAAAGGAACATCACTTTTCTGGTATGCTTTCCAGTAATCTAAAATATCCAGTATAATCAAGAAAAACCAAACTGAAAGGCTACAAAATTACTGACCAGTACTCTTCAAAAGTGTCAAGGTCAGGGAAGACTGAGGGACTATCACAGGCAAATGAGTCTAAGAAGATATGACAACTAAATGCAATGAGGGACCCTGGAATGGGTTCTGAAACAGAAGAAGAACATGAGTTAAAAAAAAAACTGGAGAAATCCAAACCAAGTCTGTAGTTTATTAATAGTATTGTGCCAAGTTTAGTTTCTTAGTTTTGATAAATGTACTATGGTTATGTAAGATGTTAACAGCCGGGGCAGCAAGGTGAAGGGTATTTGGGAACTCTCTGTGCTATTTTTTGCAACTTTTCTGTAAACCTAAAATTATCTCCAAATAAAAAATGAAGAACAGGGCTTCCCTGGTGGTCCAGTGGACTCCGCACTTCCACTGCAGGGGGCACAGGTTTGATCCCTGGTGGAGAAGTTCCACATGTCTTGCAGTGCAGCGAAACAAACAAAAACAAAAAACAAAAGTTAAAAACAAACAGGACTACTGAAGCAGGCACTATTAATATACCCATTTTCCAGAGGAGGAAATTGAGGCACACAGAGGTTAAGACTCCTGTCCTAGGTCACACAGCCAGTAACCACCAGGGCATGTCCCAAACCCATGGAATATGGATCCAGAGCCCCCGCCCCAACCCTTTACCACAGTACCATAGTGCCTTTCTTTTATTGAAACAAAAGTGCTCTTATTCTGCCATCATCTTTGACACTCACCTGTTCCCTGTTGACAGGTCTACTGTGTGACTTGTTTTTAAAAGGCCCCTGAAAAAAATTACTTCACACCTACACATATTCATTGTTAAGAATATTCTAAAAAAGAGGTTTAGTGGCTCAGAAAATATATTAGATAGTCAGGGCTTTCCAGAAAAGCAGAACCAATAGAAAAAAATATATACGTGTATATATTGGGTTGGCCAAAAAGTTCATACGAGAAATCTGAATGAACATCTTGGTCAACCCAATGTACATATATGAGAAAGAGAGAGGAAGAGAGACAGATTTATTATGTGGCTATAGACTAAAGATCTGCAGTTGGCAAACTGGAGACCCAAGAGAATAGATGATATAGTTCAAGTCCAAGAACAAAGGTCTGAGGATCTGGAGAGCCAACAGTATAAGTTCCAGTCTGAGAACTGGCAGGCAGCCTTGAGACCCAAGAAAAGCTGATGTCTCAATCTAAAGGCAGGAAAAGAACCATGTCCCAGTTCAAGGCAGTTGGGCAGGAAGAGTTCCTTCCTACTGGATGGAGGGGGTGGGGAGGTCAGACGTTTTGTTCCATTTGAGCTTCCAAATGATCAGAGGAAGTCCATCCAAATCGAGGAGGCAATCTGTTTTACTCAGTCTGCAAATTCAAATATTAATCTCATCCAAAAACACCCTCATAGGCACACCCAGAGTATTTGACCAAGTATCTGGGCACCCCCTGGCCCAATTGACCTGACATGTAAAATCAGTCACCAGAAAAGGTAAGGACACTTATCATTTTGAAAGCTATGGACAAACTGCCACACCTATCAATGATGTTCCCTGTCTCCCAGCATCGTTATGTTGTCAGGTGTTATGATTTTTGCCAATCTGGCCCACTTTTTAAAAAAGGTCTCTTAGGGACTCCCTGGCTTCTCAGGTGGCGCTAGTGGTAAAGAACCCACCTGCCAGTGCAGGAGATGTAAGAGTCAGTTTCAGTCTCTGGGTGGGGAAGGTCCCCTGGAGAAGGAAATGCAACCCACTTGAGTATTCTTGCCTGGGGAATCCCATGGACAGAGGAGCCATAGGAACTTTCTTGGTGGTCCAGTGGCTAATACTCCATGCTCCTAATGCAGGGTCCCATTTCTGATCAGGGAACTAGATCCTGCACGCAGCAACTAAAAGATCACGCATGCCTCAAGGAAATCAAGCATGCCACAACTAAGTAAATAATACTAAAATAGAAAAAAGAAAGAAAGAAAAGAAAAGC